AGAAGGAAAGGTCTGATTGCAGCCTGAGAGTCACTTATTCTGGAACTTAACGTGTGCATGAGCTCGATATCGCTCATGTGCATGCATGTATTGCATGACTCATCTCGCTTGACTGGGATGCCGCACTGTCGGGTGGACTGCAGGTTACGTGTGGATCGAGAATGCAAATGGGGATATGACGGTCCACTCGCCCTTTGCGCGGACGATTACAGAGCATCATACCGGGGTGACGGACGCACTGTTAGTAAGGCTGATCAAATTGAAATGCTCTATCATGAAGATTTGAAGTACAGCTCTTGTTACAGGCTTGCACGACTGAATGTCGGAAGCACATGCATTGGTATGCAATTAAACGATAGCCAGAGCTAATACACTGGCAATGATAAAAATGCTCGGCAGCAACTGTACAGACTTGATCGACAAGCCCGGCTTTGCGGCTTGGACTTGCCGCCATACCGATCAATCATATCCATCTCGCTTTGATAACGTTGAATGCTAAGGCGACTTCATAAGCGATGCTCAGCACCATATTGCCCTCAATCAAGCCTATCAATTCAAACGTCATGAATCTTGCAAGCAGAAATTCGTTCATGAAAGATGAGATTCAAAGGTAACCATGGTCGACCTCGATGATGAACCTCTAGTCACATGGCCCGGCCAGTTTCCGGCATCTTCGTACAGAGAAGAGTATGTTAAAGCTTATTCAACCGGCTTTGCAGGACGTTCACAAGACCTCTTCCATCTGACAAATCTATTCGGACGACGCTTTAACTTTGCACGAGGGATGATGAGGTTCAACACTGAAGGACCTGCACGAGCAGTGTCAGCTGTCTTAATCAAGCGACCATTCAACTACAATGTGGAAATTCCCTCCAACAACGCTGGAAAGACACGAGTCTTTCAATTCTCGTAGACACAGCAGAGCTTTGCAAGGTAATGATCACAACCGCAGGCATGCCATGTAGACGGTAGGTGATCATGACAGACTTCCTCTTCCAGCTTTTTAAGTAGCATAAGATTAGAGCTGTACCCAACAGCTTGAGAAGCATGCGTAAATAAAGCGCGTAAATCCGCAATCACCAGACTTACCGGTTCTCCGCCTGCGTGGCAAACCTTTTCCATCCAGCATTGAAACCAGGGCGCCCATGCCCTTTCATCTGAGATGATGGATAGCACTGGCTCGATCACTTCTGCTTGGTCGTCAAGCGGGAGAGTGGACAGCAAAGCCAGCTCTGGATCTGGAAGCCTTCCACCCAAAGAGCAGCCAGCTTCGGAAAGCGACTTAAAAGCTAGGAACCACATTTCGACCAAGCCTTTGCGGCATTCCACATCCAGGGGAAGCCTCCCTTTGATGACCTCTGCCACGAGGACCGAGTGCAAATTGGACAAGCCTGCGCTCCAGAATAATATGCGAAAGTCTGACTTGTCGCTCCTCAATGGGAGCACCACATCCACTATCTTCCGCTTGATTTTCAGGCTGCGCTCACTTGCAACCAATGGAAGAGGGAGGCCAAAAAGCCATTCCAGCTTGTCAGCGAAGGCCTTGAAACCGGCATCTTTCACTAGATTCTGAATGAGTTTTTTCAATGTCTCAACGCTGGATGCTTCAAGATCTTTGAAGATCTCATTGAGTGCCCTCTCTATCACTTGCCGGTTGCTGCTGGAATCGGAACTGAGCAACTTTTCAACGAAGCTGCGGCAAAATGCTGAGGATCTTAGACCCTGGACCGCATTGGCAACTACAGCTTCCAGGATTCTGTACTGAGTCGTGATGCTTGCTTCCCTAGTCCTTTCCAAGAGCTTTTCCTCAGGAATTCGCGTCCGGCTTAGCAGCTCCACGATCATTCCCTCCTCTTGCACTGTCCAGGGGATCGACTGGAGATAAGATACTGCAGATTTGTACAGGGACTCCAAGCCCAGTTGGTCTGCTGGTTGCAGGCACGCCAAGGCTTCTTGAAAGCCAGAAAAGCTGATGTCTTTCTCAGACTGTCCCCTACCAACACCAAGTTCAGCGTACAACTTAGCAAGGGCCACAGAGAACGCCTCAAAGCTCCCAGCGTCGTTCAAATGCACAACAAGAACAAGTCGTCCTTGCTCGTCCACCGAGACATCCGCCCCGACCCAGCGCTCGGAGAGTTGAGCAGCAAAATAAGTGCTGCATGCAACAAGGACATCTGTGTGAAGATACAAAGCTTCGGAAGTAGCCCCATCTGCAGCTGTCTCCTTCACCAAACGAATAACAACATCGCTGCTGGATGCATCGTTGAAGATAACATGGTCTAGCTTTTGAGCTTTCAGCGCGTCTTCCTGTGCGTCCTGGGCGTCCGTTTCCATGGCCGCCATTGCGCTTCGCTTCATTTTGTTGGCAGAGAAACAGTAGGAAAGGGGTCGCGACTCGCGAGGGCGCATATTAAGTTCGGCGGTCGCGACGGCCTTTCCAGCTTTTCGATTGGTGGCTTGTTTTGTCGCTAGTGCACCGACCTGCACGATTCCCATCGACGGTGGCACACGTATTTCTCGATCTAGTGAACAGCAAGCCCAGTGAACAGTAAGCATTTTGGGGTTACTAAAAACCCTAACCTAAGGAAACACCCGCTCCGCACCCGTACCCACCCTAACCCCCTAACCAACCCTACCCGTCTCCGTTACTGTTCACTGGCTGTTTCAGTCACTACATCGATCGGGATGTGGCACACCGCGTCCCGTCAGGTTAGTCGAATCAGTATCGACTGTCCGGACGGTAAGCTCACTGCGATTTGCACGCGCGCACACGTTTGAAGCAGGTCCGGTAGCAAACCTTTGAAGTTTGAGAATCACAATTCTTCGTCAGCGTCAGGCTGCATCGTCATGCCAAATGTTGCATTGCTTCATCTGAATTACGCCCGGGCAGAGGGGCTGTTTTGGATAGCAAGATGGTGCTCCATGGATATACGTATATCCACAAGAACGGGAAGCAGATGGTGAGTTTATTGGTTTATGATGGCCTATACCCTCCTTATAGTGGGCATTAGAAGGGGGTTGACCGGTTCAAACCAGGTTCTAGTGTGGGTTTGGAGGAAATTCATGCCTATCTATGGTTTGGCTTTGAGACTTTGGTTAGTGGAAGAACCAGAACCCAGATGCAACGGGGCTATGAACTCTGTGGGTGATCGTATACCCGTTGCATATATGTAATACATATATCGTATACGATCACCAACAGAGTTCATAGCCCGCGTCTTCGTGCAGTGTTATTTCATCCGCTATCCGCTTATGGATTAGATTATGAGATTATGCTTTAGCCAATATGCAAATGTTTTCCGAGTTCTATGGACCTTAACAGGTGTCAGATAAGCTGTACGGACGTAGCTTTTACCTACATTTGCAATAATTGATTTCTTTGTCCAGCCCGGCCGCCGGGCAGCCCGGCGCGGCCGCGGTTTGGCAATTGCGCGCGGCGTGCGGACAATTCATAGTCTCTTTCCGTAGACTTGATTTCAACAACGAAGGCTTCCACATGGCTTGTTTGCGCCATGTAGGCCCCCATGAGCTGTAGGCTAAAATTGGTATCCGGGTATACGCTGTGCCCTATATAGCTATACACTGATGTAATCGGATCGAAGCAACCATTGCATACTATTTGCCCGTAGTTCATATTGCATTAGATTGTTATCGCTTTGCAATTAATCGCGGCGGCCCGGCTCACATGATTATATGGAAACATCCATTTGTGCACATCATTCGACCGATCATTCGTAGTGCACAGGCATATTTTGAAAAGAGGCACACAACTCGTGTATGCCGTAAATAAGGAGCCTCAATTGGCCGAGCTTGCCTCAACGCCATATTAAAAATCATTGTCTACTTCTTAGACCCCCTTCCAGCATCACCCGTACCCTTAGGCAAAAGATCTGACGCAGCGCACAGTCTCAACTGTGCATTAAGCGAGAGAAGTTGAAGTCCGCGTATTTGATGGTCGGACATGAATTTATTATGCTTGGATCAGATTAACGGTCTGACAACGACTGGCATTGCTGCAGTGTCCTTAGTGCAGGCAAGTACCACCGCGATCCTGGCAGTGCTCCCCACTGCAAGGGGCGCCCGGCTAGCAAGAAGAACGTAGAGTCCGAAGTTGATGAAGCCGAAGAACGACAGATGTTTGATTTGTACGCAAGTCAAAACTTGCATAAAGTTTTCATGGTGCTGTCCCGGTCTCCTTATAGCACGAGAAATGGACGAGCCGGTTGTCTGGATGCACGGCAAACACGCCTGTCCCGATCTTCTTGTGACAGATGGTGCAGAGAGTGCCACCTGTCACACGGAACGAACGCCGCCGTTCTTCGAGCAACCGATCTCGCACCTGTGCGGAAGGAGGGGAGGATGAGCTTTCAACCACGTCTCAAAAGTTCATTTCTTTCTATCCCTTTCCGTTCCGCTTTGTTATGTATGGCTTGAATTGCAGCGTCGTCCGCTTACGATCGGTCAGGCGTCAAAGGTAACGGAACATACTTCCGATTTCCATTACGATTTGCGACTTCAGATCAATAAAACATCCCATATCGAACAGGTGAAAGAGTGCTCAAGGACACGAAGTTGCAAGGTGTCAGAACGGGAAGCAAAAAATGGTGACGGGCTGCCATTCTTTAGGATGAAAGCAAAGGACACAGGGGAAAGGGTCAGAAGGAGATACGTAATCGGGCATTCGCATATAACCGCAATTTGAGCACTCCCGCCGGTCGCTTGCCTGCAGATTCTCGCTGCGCCGCAGGCTCTTCACGACCGCGGCATTCCGTTTCCCCTCGCTGATCCGCCGGAGCAGCGGCCCGAGAAATGGAATCAGCCGCCCAATCTCGACCGTCCCCGGTAGCAGCCGCACTGCCTTTGCGCCGTCTATTCGGTCCCAAAACCGCACCAAGAGCCGCAGCGCATCGTCAAGCATGACCTCCTGGTTTACACTAACCGCTCCCAAACCGGGGCCGTTTTGGAAAGCGGCCTCCTCTGAACCGCTGCTCTGAGAGGAGGCGCGTATCGTTTCTAAGTTTGGCTGTAAGTTGCGCGGTTTTCGACTCCGGGGGGTAGAACTGCCCCTGCGCGCACCCCCCGGGAAGACTTGGACGTCGTTACCGGCGCCTGAGGTGGAGACTCCGTCGGAGTTGCTCGCAGTGCCACGTGGAGTGTCCTCGTTGGCTCCACGCTGGTGAGAAGGGACATCGGAAGCTCCCACGTGAGGGTCAAGATACACCTGCGCATCATAGAGAATCTTGACAAAACGTTTGCAGGACCTTTGACACCTCCTTGTCGAATTCAACTTGCATGTACTGGTTGTTTGACCGTGGTCCGATCTTGAATCAAACACTCACGGGGAGTTCGGACGATTCATGGATTGTAACGAGGCACGTGTGTTACCTAGCTGCCTCAACGCAGCAGACTCAAGGCTCACAGGCGGAACCAGATGCAATGGCCTCTTGTCGACTGTCCGCATCAAATCGGATGCCAACTTCTACTCTACAGTCATGAATAGCCCGTTCTTGGAGATTCGCTGATCCCAGACCTTCTAGCATTTCGCAATCCACAGACCTTGTCACGACGCGCCTGCCCACGTCACTCACCTCCAACAGTGTCAAGTACATATTCACCCCCTCCGTCTCCCCTTTTCTGGCGCTCCCACCCTTTCCTTCTACCCCCCCCTCCCCCTGTCCCCTCCCCCCAGTGACCGCCCCCGTATCCACTCCGATGCTCTGCTCGATCCCCCCCGCCACGTTCCCCCCCTCTTCGTGGAACCGCGTGCAATATTCCTCCGCGGCTGGGGGATCCCCCAACGCTCGCGAGTAGAGAAACAGCGCCTGCCGGTGTTTTCCCAGCCGGCCCAACAGAAGAGCGCGTTCGTACAGCAGAACTCCGTCCGCAATTTCGGACAGCAGCCGCTTCGGATCGTACGCAGTCGACCGCTCGAGCAGCGACAGCAGTTTCTGCCGCGTCTCGCTTTTCGCTCGCTCGTCCCACTTTCTTCCCCCTTCCGCTGTTCCGGTTTCCGCTCCGACCCCCCGACCTGAAACACTCCCCGCTTTGGCCTCCTCCAAAACACGTTCGAGATACAAATGCACCAGCTCTTTGCTCAGCCCTTCGTCCTCGGTCGGCGTTTTCGCCGCCGGGGGGGTGCTCTCGCCCCCGAAACTGTCCCCCCCGAAGCTGCTGCTGCTGAGGCGGGACAGCTGCGGGGGGGTGGCGGGCAGGCTGGGCGGCTGACTCCCCGCGGACCCCCCCAGAATGTGTTCGAGGTATGCGGCGGAGAGCTGGGGAGCGTGGGTGCGCAGGTGGGCGAGGACGGTTTGGGGCGGGATGGGGGGGTCCAGGTTTTTGAAGAGGGCGAGGCCTTCGTCAGGATGAGCCTGCAAAGAAGGGTGGGTACTTCGTTCTGCGACTTGTGAAACATGAGGCGTACTTCGTTCTGCGACTTCTGAAACATGAGGCAACAGAAATCTTTACCAAGCTGATGGAGAGAATGCAAGTGTCAGCGATGGATTCGGCAAGGCGTGGCTGCTCATGGGCGCTGACTGTTAGCAACAGGAGCCATCCGGATTCTGCTCCTGACACCACCATCAGACGTTTCCACAAAGCCTTGCTCAAAGGCTGACTGCGAGATGCGCTGAAACGCGAACTTCGCCTACTCGAATGAAAGCGTTTGATTCACGCAAAACTGGAAACGCGACCTGGAGGAGGCGAAAGAGCCGCTCCATCCACGAACGATGGCACGATCCCTCGCACGCTCTCCCTACCTCATAGATTGAAGCAGAACTGAGGATGTTAATTGCTCGCACCATCGAGAGCAGAACGTTCGCTCACCTCCAAAAGCCATTTTGAGTACTCCAACAGGAGGCCAATATTGTCGCTCCCCAGCTGCTTCAAATACTCCGCTAGCCGCTCATGCCCGAAAGCTGACCCCCCAGACCCGTCTTCAGCCAGCCGTCTGAGCAGATCGAGCGCCTCTCGATGCGCCCCTTGCGATCTATACAACGCCAAAAGCTCCTCGAACCGTCCATCTGCCGAAAGGAGCGGCTCACAGGTCGCCACGTGGCATAAGTTGGGGCCGTCGAGCAGCTGGCGCGCCTGCTTGACACTGTCCGTCGCCAGCAGCGCTTGGAGCAGCGCGGTGTCAAGAAGGGTCGCCTGCTGCTGCGGCGAGAGGCCCTGAGAAGGTGCAGGCTCCCTCGAGCTGTAATCGGAGGAGGGCAGACTGACACTACTTCGGCGAGGCTCGACTAGGGATACTATGCCCGGCCGCTTCAGTGTCAAGAATTCCGAAAGGGCTTTCAGAGCGCGGGTAAGGGTGAGGCCCGCAAGCGGGCTGTTTGCAACGGTTGGCGAGAGGGAACTCTCTCTAGAAACGGGTCTTTCGGTATAAGGATTGTTTAGGTTGTCGGGGCCGGTTCTCAACTGGGCTTCAGGTTCAGAGGGAATGTTTGACGGGAGCTCGATGGAGGAGTATCGAGATAGGAGGGATGGAAGGTCCAGGGGAGCTGCCGCAAAGTGAGCCTGCAGTTGGAAACGGAGCGTTGAGTAAGGCGGGCTACGCAACCGGAGCGTTCAAGTCCAAAAGGAAAGAAAGTGTTGGAAACGATAGGGTAAAAACCCCATTAGCAGAGCTGAAAAGCAGTGCTCTTTTTTTGTTGGCACGTTGAGTCTCGATATTCTGCGGTTGAAGGTCACGCGTGATGCCCTTTTGGTCATCATAGCTTCCAGATTCCCGCTTGAGCCCCGCTCTCGAAGCCGTTGACGACAGCCCTTCGCCCGGAGATCTCGACTACTCGACAGCATTTCGCGCGTGTCCTTCGAGATACAAACAGCTCTGCACAGTGTTCCGTCGGTTCAACAAATCACATTGCAAGCCAGCGCTTGACAACATAATCTGAGTAGGCCTTTCCTCGGTCGGAATACTGAGATCAGACTGGCTGAGAAACCAGATAGTTTCTCACCATGGCACTCTCATACTCGCCCCTCTGAAACAGGTCCTCTGCGTAGCGCGTATGGATCTCGTCTTCCTTCGCTGTTCGTGACTGCGCCTCCTCCCCTTGCAGCTGCTGGCAAAGCAGCAACGCGTCCTCGTACTGGCGACCCGCGAGGAGCTGCGAGATCTGCACGTCCAAGCAAACGTCAAAAGCTGGCAACAGTTTCACATCCATGGAGAAGATCACGGGGTCAAACAGTGCTGAAACGGTGTGCTTGCGCTTCAGCAAGTGCGTGCTCGTGTTGGCGGACAATGGAGATTTAAAAACTTGGCGGGTCTGGACAAAGCTTCTCAAAAGTCAAAAGTCAACACTATCACGGCGTTACAGAGCAGAGCAACTCGTTCCACTGTCTCTGCGGCAGGGCATTGTTGCATCCCCGAGCCGTGAACTTCATGTTTCTCTGAAGCCTCAGCGAACAGAAAACCTCCAAGCAACCAATTTCTGATTTGCAAAGCGCTCACTTCATTGAAACGACAGAAAGCAGCAGAGCCTACCTGTGCTGCCACGTCGACCGGCTGCAAGCGGTACACGGCCTTGTCGTCGGCCACCAGGGCGCTGCCAGCTGGCGCTGACGTCAGCAGGGTCATGGAGCGCAGAGGGACGGTCTGCACCAGGGAGTGAGGGGGGCGCAGCGAGCGCACCTGGAGAGATGACGTCAGATTCAATTTAGGTGTGGCGTCAGACAACTATGAAGGATCACGCCGGAAGTTCTGGGTGATAATCGGACCGACGGAAAAAGTCTGCGCGAAAAGAGCGAGTACAACGACTTGATCGGTAACAAAGTAAAGGGACCACCCGACGACGCATACTGTCACCGAGACCATCACCCAGGACGAAACCGATTTTTTCTTCCACTTGTGCATTTTAGACTTTGGTTTTAGGTAGCCCGCAGTGCACAGAACAGAGTTTCAAGTCAACGTGTTGCATAAGAAAGGGCTTGTAAGCCGGGAAGAATTCGTGACGAGGAAGAGCCGACGGACCGCTGTCCAGAAACCATTTCAATTTGTCCTACGTTCCAGCTTTTCGACATCGATTCTCCCGCCGGCTGTGCGAGCACTATGGACAAAATTACACTTCGTCGTTGGCAGGTAGTTTGTGCTTGAGACTCGGAACGACTTCCCAAAATAGAAGAGACAAAAGCCTTTTACCTCGACAAAGCGCGTCAGCAAAGCAATGATGTACGGAGGTGAGGCGATAACAGAGGCCGGCGGCTCCGACCAGCTGAGGCCGCCGGTCCGGGTGGGCTTGCCGGCAGCATCCACAAATACGCCGATGTTGTCCTGCGAGAACAGAAAGCCAAAGACTGAGAAAGCTTTCCGACACACCGGGCTCCTTGCGAGCGTTAACTCGGGTTAAGCTGATAAAACTGCTGAAACCATCTGAAGCAAATGATAGGAGTAGCAGTAACGGAGCTTCAGTAGCAGTGCACAAACACGCCGATGTTGTCCCGCAAAAGGGTCATCAAAGAGACGTTTGAATCAGGAACAAGAAGCAAGGACAAGAAAGGGAAGTAGGCGGAAGGAGGGCGCTTTGGCAGCAACCACAAGCACGGCAATCTTGTTCTACAAGAGAGACAAAAAAGGGACTCTCATCCAAGAAACGAAGTGTAAGAACAAGGAAGGAAGTAAGATGAAGGGAGGAGCTCTGGCAGCATCCACGAAGACGCCGTTAATTATCCTGCAAATGCATGTAAGCAGAACAGGATTCTTGACGCAGACTAAGATCGAAGAAACTCTTCGACGAAGGACGAACTTGCACTTTGAAGTATCTTGCAATCGAAGGGGGGCAAAAGCCTGCGGTTCAATAAGATGCCACGAGCATCGAGAACGAAATCTCGTCAGACGGAACAGCTCTGATGGATGAAATCTCTCTACAACATGATCTGACGCTGGCAAACAAAGGCCCGACACCGGCTTTACGCCAAATTCAGGAAAAGATAGGACTTTGGATGAAACACTGCAACTTCAAAGCCATCACTTCCAGTGCTTCTTGTCATTCGTTTTCGAACAATTTCTTTGGGACTCTCGACTCGAATCAGCCTGCTATACAGTAAGAAACGTGTTCGTGAATGAGGGTTGCCATGACACTACCTGTCCGAAATCTGAAGTGCACTTACAAGAACACTGTTTTCTTCTTGCCCTAACACGGTGAATACGAGGAACTTGCCGGAGATCGCCCTATGATTGCCCATGATAAGTTACCAACGGGACGGAAAACGGGGCCGAGAAGAAAAGAGGGGAAAGCAAAGACGAGACCGCGCATAAACTGCACCTTGCTCAGAAGCAGCTCGCCCTCCGGCAGCACCGCCGCGACCGGCGGCCCGATCCGACCGGTCGGAAAAACGTCCGTCATCGCTCTCGTCTGCACGTTCACCAACGAATACTGCCGCCCGATCCCGACGCACACCGCCCCCTCTCCCGCCCAGGCCATCGTGCGCACCGCGTCCGGGATGCTGACGTCAGCCTTCTCCGAGATGCTGACGTCATCCTTGTTCGCGGCGTCGAAGGAGTAGACGAGGAGCTTCCGGCGGAGCGCAACGGCGAGGAGGCCGGCGGGGGGCTGGAGGGCGTAGGAAGTGGCCCCCCTTGTTTTGTAGAGGTGCGTTACGAGGTCGAGTTCGGGGAGGGTGTGCAGGCTGATGCCGTCGGAGAGGGACACGAGAAGCGCTCTTGACTGGAGAGGGGGTAGTGGAGATTGTGTGTTGGAAAACGGCGTTGGATTTTTTCAGGCCGTTTTCTCGTTATATCCGTTGGTTGGTTGGGACCATTGTGGACAAACCATTGGTTTATTGGGTAGATTGTGGACAAACGAGAAAAACATCTGCCAGCTCAATTGAGAATTTATCAGCACCAGTGCAAGTCGTATATGTGTCCCTGCCCTGGTCTGGGGGCGGGAGAAAGATGTTCTGATCAAACGAAAGGACACATTCGGGTGGAAGGTCCATTGTGAAGAATTGAAACTAGACAGCAGATGCTGGCTCATGCTTCAGCAGTGCGGAACAGACCTCAATCTCCGAAACAGGATTGCTGATGTCTTTCTTTCTGCAAGTGGATCCTGACAGGAGAAATTAATTCCAAAACTATAGTGAGGCACCTGATTCAAAGCAATAAGGAAAGTAGCCTCACTTGAAGCACGTCCAATTGCACGATGGACTTCTTGCCAAAGCCGACCCTTTTCTCAACAAGAGCGTAGGGCGCTCCATCTGGGGACTCCGCTCCTTGGGGGGGACCATGCACTTGCAGTGATCCATCAAGGCAGCCAACCTGGAGGAAAACCGACACAAATTAAACATTGTTGAAGCGTAGGTCACTTCCTTTCATTCATTGATCAGAGTGCCATGATTGAGCAGGATATGAATAAATTAATTGGGTGTTAGCTAGCCAGACGCACTTAACCGATCCTTCTATTCTGTGGAATATGCACTCAGCAGCACAAGACATCCGAAGCTTCCCTATCGTGCCAATCAACAAGACAGGCCCTTCACAAGTTATAAAGAGCACAAATCTTCAGAGGAAGTTGTGCGCCAGCACAGTATACATCAGGCCAGATTTCTCAGCTGCGTTCTGGCAGGCTCAAATCAAAGGGATTTGCAAAAGGCGGGAGCCGCTGAGAATACGGATACTAACCAGCAAGCGGTCTCCCCAGAGCGCCACGCTCTCCACTTTCACTCGGCTCTCGGGCACGAGGCAGACTGCCTTGAAAGCAGAGTGCACCATCCTCTTGCCACAAGCTGAACAATGTGTCACTTCAACGGCAGATTGCTCTCATTGCCAATCTCGCTTCATTTTGGGTGCACCTCAGCAATATTGGCAGGATGTGCATCTCAACACCTCCCGGACGCCAGGTTAGCGGGAAGTTGCACAGATTTCCTCGAGGACGCAAGTGGCCGCCCTCCAACGCCCATGCATGGATGCGGCGTCTTTCTCTTGCCTGAGGCTGTAGGCAGTGTAGCATCTGTCCCGTGGCCCTGGGCCTGTCCAGCTCAGCTTTGAATACGCGCGCGCCCGCGCTCACTAAGAAGCATGAGGTACGAACGCCGTGTTCTATTGAAAGGCAGGGCCAAAACTAGCGAACCATAGCAACTAGAAACAAGCTCTTGCGGAGGCCCGAAGAACTGCGCAATATGCTTTATGTATTCATTTGCGCACCCTGTTTGCCCGCTCCATCAGAGTGGCGCAGCGGAAGCGTGGTGGGCCCATAACCCACAGGTCGAAGGATCGAAACCTTCCTCTGATACACTGGCAGAGAGTGGCAAGCTTCCGGAATTTCCTTTTTGCCTACCTACTGCCACCTACTGCCTAATAGGCTTCAACTTCAAGTTCAATGAGGAGGCTTTTATGCGAATCAAGGGGACGGACGTCAAAGACCTGTGCTTTGTTTTTGTGAGGGTGTCAGGAATCTCGAAGTTGCATTGGATCTACAGCACGCCGTGCAGTAAGTTGGTGGCATCTATGGAGGACAGCACAGCTGGCGCAGGGGAGGATGTAGAAGCTGTTCCAGGGCCTTCAAGGGCAGAGAAGGGCAAGCAGAAGGAGACTGAGGCGAACGGCGCCAGTATCGCAGCGCTCCTCGGGTGAGAAACGTGGAACTAGTTGAGAACCTGAGGTTGCTTTTTTCTGCAGCAGATAGTTGAGTGCTACAATAAATGGAAGCTGCAAGAAAGAACGCTTTTATGCTTGCAGCAAGCTGGGTTGGCACACAGAGCTCAAGTCAAGGATCCCAGGATGTAGCACAGTCAAATGCTGTGACTTACTGTTTTGAGAGTTGTTGTCTTTGCACAGGACAACAATCCCACTTTCTGATGAAATAAGCACCACAGTGACCACTAATACGTGCATCAACACTAACCAGCAGCATTGAAGCACCAGAGATCTGCAAACAAGTCGACTTAAGTTTCATAAAAGGTTTTACTTCTAGCTGGTGGCTGGGGCAACACGAGCTAAAGCAAACAGAAGACGAGCTGATGTCACCAGAAACTTTTATCGGGAAACCTGAAGCCAGCTTACAAGCCTCAATTGTCTGAATAGAAGCTTCAAATCAAGCTCATCCTTCTTTCTTGAATGCCGCAAGCTACATAAAAGCTAGTGGTCGGTCGTTTTTGTTTCGCTGGCGTCGATTACTTGAGAAATGGAATTTCATAATTGCCAGCACAAGGCTGCAGTACGCTACTGCCAGAATGAGGGACGTTGATGTTTCACCTCTGACAAATATTGTTGACTTTTACTTTGTCTTTTGCAGTCAGGGGGACGGTGAGGAATCAGATGAGGACCCAAGCCAACCGCCGTCCAATCCCAAGGGGGCCAAGCGGGGCCGCAAAGCTGCCCGGAAGATGCAGGATCTCGACCTAGTTAGCGAGCAGGTGCAATGGGGGGCCGAAGCACTTTCCATCCTTTTCTTGTGCATTTGTTTCCAAGGTTGCTGAGTCACTTGGGGGCCCATTCCGTGTTCTTGTCCATTGCCTCAATTCACCAAACAGGCAATAGGGCGATGAAGTCCTCACCTTGGGAAATCTGTCTGTTCTATGAGCATCTTTCAAAGCCAAGAAGTACTGAGGTTTACGCGGGAGCAAAGAGAAGGGACCTAGGCTTCTAAAGGTGACGATGATGGAAAAGTACCTGAAACATTGGACAAAATTCGAGCTGTCTTGTGACTGTGTGTCCAGCGACCTTCCTCGAAGCGTGCTTCTGTCTGATTTCGATGATGTTTTGGAACTTTGAGAAGGACAAAACGCAGTTTTCGGAGTCGGCTTTGAAAAGTCCCCTCGTTCCTTCTTTGTTGCAGGCGATGCGCGATGCCAAAGCGACTCTGCCTCCGTCGCATCCTGAGGAGCAGGCGGCACTGCTGGAGTCGTATACACAGCACTTTGACGACTGGCACTTCCGACTGAGGTGAATACTCCCTATTCAATCAGCAATATGGGATTTCAGTGTCAAGTAATCGTTTGTTGGGTCACTTTCTGTAATGGGCTTGACGAAACGGGTTGTCAATCGAAGCGCAGCGCCAAAAAGTTTACGTTTCTCCTTAGCCGAGGAACAATACTAGTACTCAGACAATCTATTTATGAGATTCTTTGTGCAAACACTGATACGCTTTTCATATTCAGGGGGTGGTTCTGTCTTCTGTATTGGCGATTGCCGTATACCCTTTGGGCAACTCAGGAGTTCTGTCCAGTGTGTGATCGACCCCCAATGTCTGATTAGTAAGGTGTCGAAAGGGAGTAAAGCAGAAATTGGTTCCTGTATCTCCCTTGAAATGTAGGCGCCACGTTTGCAACAAGGAAAGCGCTCAGAAAACAGATCCGAGATTCCGAATCTATCGGGCAAGAAGACACGTGCGGAGCTCCGAGCCTGCACGGGCATGCAGTCGACGAGAACAGCGATCAGCATCCATAGCCGCGTCCTTGCTAACCTCCTTTTGTACTATAAGCCAAGGACTAGACACTTCAAACGCTACTGGTTTAGAGGTTGACTAGTTTGTCATGAACATCGACGCTCTATGTCACTGGATAAACTCCTTGAACGGTGAGTCAACAAGATTGCTTTTGTTGCTGCTTTGCAGCGGTGGTTTCAGCCTTCTTTTCTACGGGTTCGGCTCGAAGCGGGCGTTGCTTGAAAGGTTCGCCTCTGCTTCTTGTACCGACGGGCCTGCGGTCGTGGTCAACGGCTTCCTTCCGGCTGTAAATTTGAAACAGGTAAGGATTTGTCGAATAGCACGCTCCAGCACTTTCGGCAGCAGCATATCAAGCCACACGAAAAGTAAACTGGAAATGGGTGACGTTTTTGGGGGGTTAACGATGGGCACTGCTGCGCTGCATGGAGGTCGAAGCCGGACTGCCTTCAGGGTCCGTGAAGTTTGCCGTCATCAGGATCACTTGCTGACGTGTAGTCGCCCCTACTGACCGAAAATTGAGTAGGATGTGGCACCAAGGGCTACGAGTCAGAATGTTCGCGAAAGGGCTCACTTAACCGGCCAGAATGGAGCCTCCCATTCGGATTTTGAACACACGACCCAAGTTCCTCAACCGTCTCAACGAGCCCCAATTTTAGCAACCTCTGAAAGTGTTTCGAAAAGCGGGAGTGGCCTCTCGTAAAACGAAGTCTCCAGAAAACCAGAAATGGGTCCTTGAGTGTTCATCTTGGTCGAGTCCTTACTCGGTTGTTGATCAAGTCCTTATTGGTAAAGCCAAACCTCTGGTACCAATGGCTTCCGTTCTTGGACCTTCTCACCGTCGAGCTCTGCCAGCCTGTTTTCTGTCTAAAGAAGCGAACTACTCACGACTTTGCACCGTTTCTCAATTCTTGCGAAATTGCGGCGATCTCCTAACCAAGTTGGTCAACCAGGTCCTCGCCCTCGTAACCCGCACTCTTTGGGAGCACGAGTGCAAACGCCCCGCCCCCTCCTCGGAGCGCCCCCCCGACCCCTCTTCCACCGCCAAAGAAGACGACCTGCTCGCTTTCCTCGACCATCGACGGCTCAGATCGCATCTCTACCTGATCGTCCACAACATCGACGGCCCAGATCTGCGGAAGCCGGAGGCGCAGGCGCTGCTCGGCGAGATGGCGCGCTGTCGAGGGGTGCGGCTAATCGCGTCGGTGGATAACGTTAACGCCACTCTGCGTAAGCTTGGTTGGTCCTTCCAAAAGCGGTTTTTGGTATAACTGCTTTGTTGCCGAGCGCTCGTTTAGTTTGGCCCTCTGCCCTCTGCTTGGGGGTGTCCATGGTCGAAATCCCGACCGCATTGAGCAGAACAGAGAAAGTTTTACCTGCCATTTAACCCCAGCTAACTGTCCCCTTCGAAGCTCGAACACGGTATGTGCTAATCTGTCCCTACCCGACACTGGACTTTCGAAGCGGGAGAGGACCATGTTTGCGCCTTTTCCAGATCTGGGGTGGCTCTGTGGTGGCAATCGACCTGATCCTATCCGGAGAATCCATCCATGAGAACACAACTTATTGGAAAAGCTTATTTACCTTGTGCTGAATCCCCGGTCCATGTGGAGTAAACCCACAGTCAAGGCACTCTCTTCTTTCGGTGCGCAACCAAGTACGAAGCTCATTCAAGCAGGTCAGGAGTCGATTGTTTTGTCAAACCACCCAGGTTAGCCCCTTCTTACCCTCTCCTAACCCACTCCTCTTCCAGTTTGGGACCACCACGCGGAGCGCACTCGCTTCCGCCGCTCGTGGCAGCACGCCCCGACTTCCCTTGAGGCTCTCGCAACAAGCCGTCGTTTTATCGCTCAGTTAACCCCTTTAACCTCCTTAACCCTCCCTTTTGCAGTCTGGGACCACCGCGCGGAGCGCACACTCTTCCGCTGGTGGTGGCAGCACGCCCCGACCTTCGCCCCGTACACAGCGGAAACCGCCCACATTCCCCCACTTCTAGTTCCCCGGGGGGCCGAGAAAGGCGCTCGGGGCGCGGCCGTAGTGCTGAAAAGTCTGACGCCCAACGCCCGGGGCGTGTTCAAAGTGCTGGCCGGGCAGCAGCTGGCGCCCGACCACGACCAAGGTCGGTGTGAATACACTCGTACTGACGTCGCTCGTTTTGTAAGCTCAGCTTGGGGCCGCTAGAACGCTCGTTTGTTTTCACTATGTTCCCGAATGAAGGATGATCTTGCCTAGTCCATCTTTTGCAGTTCTAACGGCGGCGGCACTTGCTGATAAGGTCCGCTTGAATGACAGTCTGCGTGAACGATTCGAGTTGCCGCAGACCGAACTCATATCCAGTGGTGTTATCTATTGATGGCCTGCTGATCAACCGGTCGTAGCCGTTTGGCATGCATCCCGACCAACCCATGAAGCTTTCATAAAGAGCTGAATTGAAAACACCACAGCGCCATAGCGATCGTCTTTATCCTCTTCGGACTAAGCTTCGAATCGAACTTCCATTGGGAGTTGGTGCTAGGCAATCTAATACCGGCTCATTTATCTAAAGATCGATTTATCGAACAGCAGTCAACCGCTATTTGACGCCCACCATAGCTGACGTCACCACCCGGTTCTGCCATGCGCAACCTTGACTTCCTTGTAGAGCTTGCCGATCCTTTCTGTGGTCCATTCTGTGGTCTTCGCTGACGTGGCCATTGGTTTCTCCGTTTGCAAGTTCCCTCAAAAGCTTCCATCACGGCAGCCAGCACAAGTCAGCCGTTCTAAAAGGAGACTGACAATCCCCCTTTCGCAGGTCTCCCTTTCCATCGTCTATACACACTCTGCCGAGAGAAGTTCATCGTGAGCAGCGAGACAACGTTGCGCACGCACCTTGTCGAGTTCCGAGACCACCAGCTGGTCAAAACGCGAAGAGGGCACGACGGTCAGGACTGCCTGTACATACCGCTTAAAGAAGAGGTGCTTACGATCCTGCTGGACGAGTTGGAACAGCTAAAGTAAAACACAAAGCACATTGAAAGGCGGACTAGCACATGATTATTATTCCGCTTCTCGGCAGTTGGCTCTATCGCTTTCGTCAGTGTTGCGTTTTGCTGCGGGTGATCATAATCAGAGTTTCTAATACAGTACGTGGAGCCATGGTTGACCCTAAGTGATGAATGTATCTATTTAAGTTTCTTACTTACAGCTTGCCTAGCTCGATCGAATGTGATAGCTGCAAACTTGTATAGCTGAAAGGAGCAGACTCGAAGTTCCCTACCGCATATACACTCATTGGCCTGCAGATTATACATACGTTCATATATATGGTTTCTTCCCTTCGGTCGGCCGCCTCTGTTCGATTAGCTAGTTGACGTACACGCAAAAATCAGTTCTTAAGCCAAATCATGCGTTATTTGCTGAGTGCTTGGACAACAATACAATATACGTGCATATGGTCAAAAATGATACGACTGTCCTCTATCGCACCCGGTTTGCATGCACAACTTGCGATACCTCGATTCGGTTCAAGGCTTCCCTCTGCCAAGCCCGGGCCAAGGCTTTCCCCTGTCAAGCTCGGGCCAATGTATATAGCCATTTTATGTATGGCAGGTCAGTGTCTCGTAGGACAATGCATATGCAACATCCAGCAGCAACTAATATAACATAGCTGCTGCGTTGAATATGTCAAGCGCCTTTTGTAAATATAGTATCTTCCTACAATTTTGCCACCTTTGTCCCGCTAAAGTACACCAGACTTTAAAACTTGAACCAAGGTCTGTGTCTCCATTTGTTATTGAAGGAACGAGACTGCTCCTCAGCTTGCAACAGCGAAGTACGGTATTTCGCATGCCAACGTGTAGACTAGACGAAAAAGAAGCTTCTTGCAACTAAGCAATCCTAACCTTGTATTTACAACTTATTCTGACTTCACACGTTTTACAAGTTAAGCACTTCTAATCTTCTAGCTCAAAGTCAACTTGGACATCTGGGTGATCCTTCCGATAAGCGGAGACAAGCCTGGTCAGGGCTTGGCTTTTGGCCTCAGTGAAGATGGTCAGATACTCAAGGTTTGGGCTGCTACATAGCAGCCAATTGACATGGCTGATGCAACGATGGGGGAGAGGCTTGGGCAGCTCAATGTCCAGAGTGTCAAGCTTAAGTGGCTGCTCCTTCCGTGGGGTTGATTTTACCAGCGTGCGGAAAAACCAGGCTCCTTCAACATGAAGTTCTGTAAGGTTTCCCAAACCCTCAAAAAACTGGCTAATGCCAGCACGAGCACCTGTTGCTCCCATGCTGACGTTGTTGCAAGAGAGAGACAAAAACTCTAGCCCAATCATCTGATTAAGCAGACCAACAAGGCTGTCCCAGCTTATACTGACAACACCTTTAGGCCCCCATGCGGTGCCCCATGTTAGGTTCTTCACCCCTGAAAAGGACCCTGCTGTTGTTATTAGCTTGCAGGCGTGTAGATCAAGGGACATCAACCGGTGCGCCAGAAATACTGCACTCCCATAGTTGTTCAAACCCAATGCGGCAGACTTCAAGGATGGGGTGTCGATGTACAGCTCGACCGTACCGCGAGCTAGACGGAACTCTAGTTCTTCTAGCAAAAGCGATCGGATGTAGAGGTCCTCTATGACATCCACTTCCAGAGTGGCCTGTATGAGAGTCAATTTAAGCAGACTGGGGCACTGAGACATCAAGGAGTCCAGATCAGCTTGGGAGATGAAGAAAGTACTCATATGGATCTGTTGAAGAGACTCGAAAGACCTGTTTCGTCTCTGCTCTAGCACGCCCGCATTTAAGGACAGTCCTTTGATTTTGAGTTGTCTCAACTTTGGCAGAAGCATGAGCATTGAGAAAAGGGCAGCGGAGCTGTCGAAATCGAGGTGCCCTCCTTCAAAAGTGAACCTTGTCAGTCTGTCCCTCCCCCTCAGGAATGCCCAAAGGAAAGGGGCATCCAATTCGGTCACATCAAATTCGACGTCTTCCAGCATTGTATACTTGGCTAGTAAATCAAGGAGCAGTACTTTTGTAAAAGGACTTTCTGGCTCTTCTAGATACTTGGACTCTACAGACAAGTATCTTGTCTGCAATGCCGCACTCCTCCACTTTTTGCAGACGCAACTGAGGGTCATCATCTCCTCCATGGTGCGCAGCTTGAATTCAAATATGGTTGTCAGTATACCTTCCGGCAAATCATCGATTGACGTTTCCCTGGCCATGGTCCTTCAAGTTCAACGCTTTGGCTCCCTTCAGAAATCAAATCCAGCAAAGCGGAGCAATGGAGAAGAGCAGCGCGTCTTCTTCAAAATCATGCAGCGCATTGCCAGGTACCTACCTACCGACGCCGTATTGCAGCCTTCTCTCTTGCCGCGGTACATACCGGTCTTTAAAACGTACACGGTACGGTACTGGGCTTGCGGTACCCTACCTAGCCTACGTAGGTACCGGTACCACTAAAGGATTCAAAATTTCAGTTGACCAGCCGGGCCACCTCGAACCTAGTCGGCACCCGGCGCTGGGTTGCCCCGGTCAGGGCTCGGAAGCTCCGAAGGCCGAGCGGGGCCGGTGAAAACAACAACCCGGCCTGGCCGTCTATTCGATCGATCTACGTTTTCCCCCCCCGGCCAATGCCGAAGTACTCGGGAGCTGTTTTGTGCCCGGTACAAAACTGGCGGGAATCGTGCTCCAGTTCGAACCTTGTCGAGTTTGAATCAGCTTCTTTCGAAAAGGTGCTCGCGAGTCGCGAGTCGCAGCTTCAGAATCAGTCTCTAGTACTCTCTAAACTCTACGAGTCCGACTAGGCTAGTACAGGATTACAGAGATGACGAATAGGGATAAACTTTAATTGTAATAAGGAACTTAAGGTACACGAGTACGGGTGGGGTTAGTTTGGTGGTTAGGGTGGGTTCGGGTGCGGAGCGAGTCATTTTGTCCTTAGGGTTTTAGTGTTGGTTAAGTCGGAAATCCAGTACTTTCAGTACCTTAAGATCCTTATTACTATTAAAGTTCATGGTTATTGAGACGACGCATGCTCGTGCAGGCCTGCTCTGAGTTCGGGTCTCGAATTGAGGACAACGTTTCTGTAGTTCCTAGACGCTTCTTTCCTTCAAGAATGGCGGATGCTGGACGCTGAGTTGTTGAAGCCTCGAAAACGTTCTGGCGCTGCGGCAAGCCTCGAAATGCGTTGGGGTTTATCTGTTAACGTTCTTATCCCATGAGCGGAAACATGTCGAGGCCAAGCTTGTTTGCATGATTGAAAGCTAGTTAAAGGAAGTTTGCGTCACTTGCATCAAACATGGCTGGGAACCAAGGGGTGCCGTACAAGAAGATTCAGAACGCGCCTGCAGCTCTTGCGAAGCAGCCCCCAACTCGTCCACCAAGTGCGTCAGTTCAAGTTAGTCCCATCAGGAACGCAGCTCCTTTCATTGACATGCGAGAAGTGTACTTTTTGGTGGCACACTTCCTGTCTGCTGGCCCGTGTGTCAAAGCTGCAGAGTTGTTGAAGCAGGAGCTTAGAGAGCACGACCTTCTGCCACGCCGCGGCCATGCCTTCCACAGCAGCAGCGGGCAGCCGTCAGAGCTGGTGGGCGATAATGGGAGGACGCTTTCGGTGTCTTACGAGGAGGTGGCTGCAAGGTAAGATGGCAGGTCCAAATAAAAATCGACAGAGCTCAATAACTGAAACTGTCAAATGAGGTGGCGTCGAGGGCGAATGGAAGCGAAGAGAGCGATTGCTTTATGTTAACAATCGTCTGATGTTGTTTGAGATTCTTGGCAAGTGAAAAATAGCATGAGTATGTTCATTCTTGGACAGGCTGACCTTAAACGTCCCTTGCGCCCAGCATCTCGACCTTTTTAGGAGTGAAAAGCTTGCATGATGCTGAGAGGTTTTGAGCCGTGGGGAAAAGCCATGGAAAGAGCTTCAGCACCCAGTAACATACATTTTGTGTGCGTGGGCTGCTCAGGAGGTCTGATGTTGGCATTCACCACTTCAGTATTCCTTTCTGCGTTTCCATCTGAGGGATGTTGTCAATTTTGCAGACTTGCTGCACTTGAATGGTCATTCTACCTGGTTGATGCAGCATTTGTCTTGCTGCAGTAAATCCGGCTTGAATCGGTTCTGTATTTGAGGTTTGCATCTTCTTGTCATATCTCGTGAATGATAGGGTGGGAACTACGGGACGTCCACTTTTTGATGGAAGGTATGCACATTGGACACTACGACAGTGTTGCGAATAACATCTCCGACCCAATAGCCCAGAGCAAAAAATAATATTCTCGCTAGCTGTTGGATCCGAGTGGTGGGATCTGCAGGGCCATGTTGAGCAGGCTCCAAGACTGATTTCAACGCTGTAGGCTTTGCCGCGATTTTTGTGTGACGAGACTCCGCTGACCAAGTCAATCAGCAATTGAGGGGGTACGACCAGGCTTGTGACAGGGTACGAGCTTTGCCCTCACTTGGAAGTTCCTCCTCCCCCACAGGCATCCCAGCATCAGCCAGGACCACCTGCGCAGGCTACTCCTTCAGCTGATGCACACCACCGCGGCCGACCACAGCCCCCCCGACAGCCCCCACGAGCGAACCCTCACCGTTGCCAGTGCAAACACAATCCTCGGTACGGGCCCCTTCTCGCTTCTCGAGAAGGAGCGCGCTGCTTCTCTCCAGCAGAAGCCCTTACCCAAGTGGCTTCGATGGCCTAACAGCCAAGCAGGGCACGTGCTAGGGATGATGCTGAGAGAGATCGGGGGAGGGTTCTCAGGCCCCACCAACCGGTTGCCTGCTCGGAAGGCGGGGGAGTACGCTCTAGGGCACCCTGCGCTGCTGGTGGAACGGATGGAGCGTCTGTCCACTCTGAGGGGCCATCGGAACGCTGTGTACTGCACGGTGTTCGACCGCAGCGGGAGGCTCGTGGTGACAGGCTCGGACGACTTTCTGGTGAAAATATGGAGCATGAACACCGGGATCTTGCTGCGCACGTGTAGGGGCCACACGGTGAGTCGGGCCCGGGCCTCGCATTGTCCTCACCCTTTTCATGTCCCGACGGTGAAAACCTCAAAAGGTTTTCTCGACGATTCTTCAGAAGTTCTAGCATGCAACTAGATTTCTTTGCCTGCCAGCGAGTTGAGTTTGTTACAGATTATTAACGTCACCATTTGACAATGATGAGCTCTGTCGATTCTAGACGTTGATGCAGGCGACGCAGTGGTGAATTCAATTGTCACCACACACATTACCAAAGAACTTCCGTTTGTAAGTTTTCTACTTTTGTTGCCCTCTTTATCTCACCTGGCCCCACTTTTCAACGGATCTGACTCCTGTTCCGGTTGAGACCGCAGGGCGACATCACGGATCTCACCGTGTCCGCTGACAACAAGTTCGTGGCGTCTGGCTCCAACGACCACTCCATTCGCATATGGTCTCTTCCCTTTGGCAACCCAATATCCGTGTTGAAAGGGCATGCCAACCCGGTGACAGCGGTCCAGTTCAGCCCCCGCCCTGGCTTTGAGCACCAGCTGCTCTCGTAAGCTGCCCTTCCTCGTTCACCGTTTAAATTGTTGAAGTAGTAGAGGCGAGTGTCCAACGTTCTTTCTGCATGTACTGCGCTTGCTGGCAAAATCAAAGCTTTCTGCTGTTGATACGACCCTCTTTGACCTCCTGATTTGCATTCTGTTTTTTTTTTCTTTATCATCTTCTTAGCGGGCCAGCAATCGGCGCAGCTAGGCTTTGTTCCCATTCTGGAAGTGATTACTAACAGAAGAGCTTGGTCAGAAAGCTTACCAATGTTTTCTCACTTTAATTGTTCTATCGTTCTAGCGCTATCGAACGTCTTTGTGCAGTGCAATCCATCCAAGGCCCCCAAAAGGGAGACCTAGCAATATGTTTCAAGCTTCTTACTCTCTAGTTCCACTTCTGAACAATCTTGGACGCTAAAGGCATATGTTCGGACGCTGCAGGGCGTCCGAAGACAACACGTGCCGCATCTGGGACGCCCGCAGCTCCAAGGTGAAGCCGCAGGTATACATCCCGAAACCGCTGCCAGGTGCAGAGAAGGCCAAAACGGCTGCCAAGGACGAGATCTTGGCGGCGAGCTACAACCCGGACGGGCGCTTCTTTGTGACTGGAAGCACTGACAAGATGGCCAGGGTGAGACACCATGCTGGCTTGTCATATGGGCCCATCTCAAAAGCGTTGGTGGCGCTTTTACCCTAGTTAGAGTAGTCGTGCTTAAGATTGAAGGTTGGTGTGCCTTGCCAGGACCGAGGAACTTGTTTTGAGGGGCGGAGACAGTCACTGTCTTGCTTGAGAACTTTTGGAGGGCTTCATGGTTTACTGCCTGAGAGTTTTGAAAAGGTGGGCTGGAAGAAAGTCCTCCGAGATCAAGCTTGCGCTTCTCAACAGTTGGCTGCAATTACAGTCTCTTGGGTCCGTTCACCACAATACCCTTTGGGGAGTCGGTTGAGTGGTTCTGCTCCGTTAGTTGCCAGCCATGCGCTCACAACGACAGATAACAGCTTTCAACACCGTTCCAAATTCTAGCTATATGGGAAAAGCACCGCTCAATTGGCAGAATCGCTCGAATTTGTCAACTCGGGCGAGCCCATTCGAGTATCCGCAGCTATCTGGCAACCTATCAATGACGAGACAAAATCTATGGCTGAGGCAAGCAAACAACACGGACAGGAGACAAGAGTAAAGGATAAACGAAGCACAAAGTATGGACAGGACGAAAGACACCGGAACCATCTCTTTGCAGGTCTGGTCGACGCCCACGCTCCCCGAGTTGTTCCCCCTCTACTCGATGCACGAGATTGACACGCTGGCAGGCCACGAGAACCAGGTCAACTTCGTCCAGTTCAGCGGATGCGGTCCCTCTACCGCGCCAGAACTTGCGTCCTCTTACGGCTCTGCCGGTGCGCGCATATTTAAAGTCGCTCCGCTCGCGGCGAACATCGTCAGCTGCTCTAAAGACGGGAGCGCTATCATCTGGATGCCCAAGAAGACGCACGTGAGTTTGGACAAACTTTTCACGGCACTTAGAGGAATCAGTGCCGTTTTGGCAAGGGTCTGCACGTACCGAACGTTTTGAGCAGGCGTCCGACAGTGTGATGAAAACGAAATCGATGGAGCCGATTCTTACAATGTGATATATTCGATACTTTGTTGGAACGAAAGGGCAATTTGAAGTCGGCAATTTCTTATGACGCAACTGTGTAGACCGTATCCAGTTTGAAAGTTAGATTCTAGACTTTTCAACTTCTACCGTTTTGGTTGTTGCGCCTCTCGTTGCTTGAGCACATCTCGAGCGTAAGAGCTGCTTCTACAAAGTTTGTTCTCGAAAGATGTTTCCCGAAAATGACGCGATTCACGTTTACCTCAAGCGGCTCAGGGTTAAAACGATGCTCACGAATTCTCGTTTCAATGACTCTTGTATCAAACTCAATAGCATGTACTCTCTTTTCTTCCTCAGAGCAAGATAATGAGCTGGGTCAAGACGCACACGCTGAAGGTCCCCGAGCCCCCCGTCCCGCCCACAGTCAGGGGGCTCCCGCGCCACCCATATCCTACCCCCCGGGGCGTGAACATGATCGTGTGGTCGCTTGACAACCGGTTCGTCCTGGCGGCGATCATGGACTGCCGCATCTGCGTCTGGAACGCGCGGGACGGCACGCTGGTGCACTCCCTGAATGGGCACACTAAGGTGAGGGCAAACTATAGTCTCCTGAATTTAGCAAAAGTAGCTCCAACCTTAACACTGAAAACCTAACCCACAAAATCACTTGCTCCGCACCCATACCCACGCTGAAATCTAAACTAACCCCACCCGTCCAGGCTGGTCAGCTTACTTCTGCTAAAGCTTGCTTCTGCTAAATCGAAGCTTTTTGCAAATCGTCGCGTGCTCGGTTGCGTATCTGTCACGATACAAATCCGCCGTCCATCATTGAAGTAAAGGCAGATGCACGGACCAGGTGCATCACATGTCGGAATGTAATCGCCGTCTCTTCTACCATGCGGCATGGATCTTATTCAGAGATCGCAACTGGTGGGCTAAGTTTTTTGTCAGAAGTGTAGTTTTCTCAAGCGGGTAAGTTGTAAGGATGCAATAGATTTTCAACCGCGCGACTTCGTCTCTTGACGTAGTCGAGAAGGTATGGTACGTAGATATGGGTAATCACTGGTTGTAGCCGTTACAAAAGCCTTCATATTCGTCCCCCTCGTAGCTCTTTCTTCAGCGGCCCTCATGCAAAACAAATGAGTAAGAGACCAGCTGGGAGTCGACCCATTACGACCCTTTTCATTGTTATATAGTCATGATGACAATAAAACAACATTCCTTGTCGGTGCCAAAGGGCGGCTGGAGTTTTCAGGTCACCTTTCAACGCCGAAGCAATACCATAATTACAGTTGTCCGACCATCTTAAGCCAAAGTTCAACTTGCGCGTTCCCACGTTTTTCACATCTAGGTTCAGACGGTTCTTCGGTTACCCTGTTGATGAGTACGGCACGAGCTTGGCCTCATTGTTGTACTTAACAGTTTTAGCTTTTCCCGAGAAGAGGAAACGGAGGCGAGGTGGTTCCTGTTGGGGCGCCCGGCAAGCCGGGGCGCTTCCTGGAAGGGTCCCGACCCATTTCCCTTCAGTTTAGCAGAAGTGAGCTCCTACATTAAATTGCTAGAAACCTAACCCACTGATTTACCTGCCCCGTACCCGTTCCCACCCCAAACCGCCAAACTAACCCCACCCGTCCCAGGCTGGTTCAGCTAATTTTTCCTAGTGGAAGCTTCGTTCCCGACCCGCTATCCCACACTCACCAGAAGGGTATCCGTAGCTGGAAAGTTCCTTTTCTCTTTCCGCAGGCGACGTACGTCTTAGACGTGCACCCCACGGATCCCCGTATGGCTCTCAGCGCCGGCTACGACGGGCGGCTGATCATCTGGGACCTCTGGGCCGGCCGCGCGCTGCGCACCTTCCAGCAGGCGGAGCTGGAACTGGTCGACGCGCGCTTCTCGCCGGACGGGACCGCGATCATTGCGTCCAACGAGGTGTTGACGTCCGCCCCTACGGCTTTTCTCTCCAATACCTGTCCGTTTTGTGTCGCGCCTTCGTTATTTTGTTGTCGCCTGTACGATCTGCTTGCGAGTGGTGCTCGGCTCAAAGGCTTGTGGGCGTTGGATTCTGTTCTTGTTTGTCTCTTCCTTCTCCTGACATTGCTTCTGGTCGTCTGCAATTGTCTCTGATGAAAAGCATTTGTTTTTCTGGTGAGTGGTTGGGTCTCCGCACTCCGCTCCTAGTCGCTGGCGCTCCCATATACTTAAAGCGCTCGTTGGAAGACGCGTCATTAAGACTAATTTTCGTTGCTCTTCCGTCATAGTGTTAGGAGTAGGAGTAGGAGTTTAAGAACAGGATGTGGGCTGATTGAACTTCTCCCTTTTCCTTCCTTCGTCTCCCTTTCCTTTTCAGCTTCCATACCGCCCCCAACCCAAACTAGGACCGGACGATCAAGCGAACCCTGACCCTTGCTTTACTTCCTTACAATCATCAGTAACAGCATCTACCTGTGGCAGATGGTTCCTTTGGGGTGTTCGCAATCTGTGTCACATCTTATACGGAGGATGGATCCAGACCCCCAGACAAAATAGACGAAAACAAACTTCGACATAACGAAAGCCTTTCTAAAATCCGAGTACCGAAACGGACTTCGTTCTGTCGTGCAGATCGGCGAGGTGTACTACTACGCCACCGGCTCGCCCGGCCAGCACCGCACCGCGGCCCCCGACCAGTTCTTCCTGGGCGACTACCTGGAGACGGCGGAAGACGTCAACGGCTACGTGCAAGACGTCACGATGGACATCCCGGTCCACTTGCGCAACCTCCAGGACCCGCTGTGCAACGCGCAGATGGAGCCGTACCCGGAGCCGTGGCAGAGCGCGTACCAGGCGGAGCGCGCGCGCGCGTTCGGGGGCGCGGGGGCGCTGCTCGCGGCGGAGCTGCCCGTGCCGATGGCGAGGTGGGTATGGAGGGTCGATCGGGCTTCTACTTCAGACGAGAAGACATTCATCATTTGCAGAAAACTTTTCCGACCATCTTGACGCTCCAATCCATCTTGTCAAGTGTTCGCTTTTTTAGGGTCCAGGATGCCCCACTCCCAGGTCGACTCCTGGCGCTGGCTTCCGCTTCTCAAATCTCGCCGCTGGATTTTGTCGGAGCTTATCAAGACATGAATTAACAGGTTGATAAACCTCCGACTCAGCATCCTTTCGTGTTTAGTTCTGATCTCAATAACTTTTCATGCCAACTTTATGCAGGTTGCCTACTCCCTAGTCCTTTGAATTGCACTCCGCTGCTGGCCTCCATTGAACTGGAATGTCAGGAATACTGCGTCGATGTAGCCCTTCTTCCATTCTCACCAATACTGAATGTTTAAATTCCTGTGCCATGTGTTCTGCAGGATGCCCACCCCCCAGGTGATCTTTGCCGCGCAAGCCGCCGCATCGCAGCCGCTCCGCCACCACGTGTGGACCAGCCACCACGCAGACGGGCCCCGCCTGGAACCCGCGCCGCTGCCGCCCCCGCTCTCGCAGCCGCCCCGCCAGCCGACTGTCTTCCGAGACGACTTTGAGGGGGACGTGGAGGAGGGAGACGAGGATGACGATTCGGGTAAGAATTCACTAACCAGAATTGAGTAAGTTTGGAGGTCTGTCTGAGAGCAAAATTTGCGTTTCGACGTAGATCGTGTCCGTCCGCCAAATCCTTGGGGCGCAATCGAGGAAGAGAAACGCGCAACTTACCAGGCATCACGCTGTGGTTTTATCGGTCTCCGATAGTGACGACGACAGAAGCGGCGTTGCGCGGGCCACCCAAAGAGGCCTGCGCCCGTCCTGTTATATTTTGTCGTTCCCACTTTGCTTTGATCTCATTCTTCGTGCAGCTTATCATTTGGATATGTAAACTCTCTCTCTTTGCAGGGTCGATTTCCGATAGTGACGACGACGGCAGCGGCATTGCGCGGGCCACCCGAAGAGGTCTGCGCCCGTCGTCTCGCCGGGGGCGGGGGCTCTCGGACGGCGGGGAATCGTCCGGAGGGTCCGGAAGGCGGCGGCGGACGGGCGAGGAAGCGCCCAGTACGTCCAGGTTCGGGCGGGTCATCAAGAGGAAGCGCGAGTGAGGACCCTGCTGTCCTGAGCTTTGAAAGCTCTAGGGTTTGAATCGTTACAGGGCTGCTGCACCTTTCAACAGCGTTTAAAAGTTTCTCCTTGACATTGGATTTCGCTCAGAAACCGCTTTCGGCGGTTTGAAGGTCGCTGCTGTTCGGGCGTGTCCTCGTAGCGTATGTTGCCAACCCCAGGCAGTGAAAAACCTTCCTGAAACTTCTTCATGGGGCTAAGACGCGGCCCGCTTTGATCGTTTATCAAGCTTCAGCATCCATGGCCAACTAGCCCCGTTCACATGAACCTGCTTTTCGATTTCTGATTTTTAGGCGGTTGAGGTGCATGTTTAAGATCAGGAAAAACAGGAAAGCAATCTGGCGATGCACTTTCGCATGGTCGCATCCGACTTTATCGCGCTGACGACGAAGGGGACTATCAAGAGTTATCCCGGTTCTGATCCTCACTTACCGCTTTGGTGTGGTAGATACGTTGCAGGTGTAGTCCTTGTCCGAAACCAGGTAGATGTCCGTAAGCGAATGTTGACTAAAGCTGTACACGGTCCTGCTTTATTCTCCTTCGAGAAGTAGAAAGTTGAGGTTAAGATCATCGCTCAAATCTCTCAGATGCATATTGATGGTCGCAGACTTCGACGAGTTTGTAGGTCAAACTGACCTTTCTCCCATTCTTGCCCCCAGCGACGACTACGAGAGCCTTCCGGAGGGAAGAGCCGACGAGCGGCACCCGCGCCCCGCGACGCGCCAACTGCGCCGGCGGCCGAAAGAAGACGACGACTGGGAAGACGACTCCGACACTCCCCCCTCTAGTTCCGACGAGGAGGGAAGCGAACCGGGCCGCCGGCCCAGCCGCAGGCGTCCGTCGGCGAGCAAAAACAAGGGGGTTTCGGAGGATGAGACAGCGGGCGGCGGGGGGTCAGAAATGGGCGGAGAAGAGGGGGCGGCGCGATTGATGGCTTGGCGCGGGGGGGTGGATATCGGGGGGATCCCCGAGGGGGGACGACTTGGGGGGGTGCCCCTGTGGGCCGGAAAGAAGAAGCGCGGCGCGACCAGGGGGCATGGAGGGGCGAGAAACGGGGAGGGGGGGGGCTCCCGGGGGGTCCCTTGCAAGGCTTGGTGGCGGGGGGGCAGAATGGGAGTGGCGTGAGCGGAGATCCAGGACCGTCGGATAGCGGGAACGGGCGGCTGGTGGTGCGTCTGGGGGGCGTCAATGACTTCCGGGGGGTGCAGTTCCGGTCGGTCGTGAACGGAACGGGGGAGAAGGCAGCGGAAAAGCAGGGGGGAGCATTGGGGGGTGCGTCAAGAGGAGAGGGTATGGGGGGTCCCGGACAACAGGGTCTGGAGAATTTGGGAAACCAAAGTCCGGGGGGGTCGTGCTTTGGCGTTTCCGCGCAGCCGGGGAGCGGTTCCGCCAAGTTAACGCAGGAGGCGGGTTTGGCGGCGAAGACGGCTCCCGGTTCGGACGGCAAGAAGAAGATCGTCCGGATCCGGATCATCCCCCCGAAGGAGAAGGTGGGCAGCCATCCGATGTCGCCGCCGCAGATGCCGGCCCCGATAAACACCCCCCGGGACCGGAGTGGGGGGGAAGAGAACAAGGACGGAGCAGAGGGCGCGGAAATGGGAGAGGCCGGGAAACTAGAGTCGGGAGAAAGTCGGCGTATGTTGCAATCTCCGGAGACGGCCCCCAATTGGCCGCGCCTCGGGGCAAGAGCGAGTCCGATCTCGAGACCGTCTACCGAGGCGAACCAACCGAGCGGTGCTAAGCTTCAGGGGGGGCCGCTCTTCCGGCCGCAATTTGCCCCCCCGATCGGTCTGCTCCCTCCCGGTCAACCTCTCGCCGGATTCGCTCCGAACACGGGTGCTAAGAAGGCCAAGAAAGGCCCTGCGAAGCCGAAGAAGGACAAGAAAGCGGGGTCGGTGACGGCGGGAGGTCCCACGACAGGGCCTGGCGGTCAGCAGCCGGGTTTGGCAGCGGGTTTAGCAGCGGGTTCCAGAGTGCTAGGCGGAGCTCCAGCGCAATCAAATCACCCGCTCGGTCCGCAAGCCTCCATGCCAAACTCGGCCGGTTATCCGCCTAACCCACAAGCCCCACCGCCAAACATGTCCGGGGGTTATCGGCTTAACCAGCACCATCCGAGCTTACAATCGGTCGCCCAGCACCTCCAAACGTTGCAAACCCTTGTCAGTCAGGCGGAGACCCACCGCGCCTCGGACGGTTCTTCTAGTCTAGCGCCTCTCCAATGGGCGGCGCATAACCCAGCTTTCCCAAACCCTCAGGTTGCTCCGAAACCGGGTCAAGCGGCTGCCGTCAGGGGGGTTGAAAACCCACCTCCCTCGACCTTGCAAGCTTTATTGAACCTCGATAGCCAGCAGAGGATGCACGGTCTCCCGGTTTCTCACACTCCCCAAGGCCTAAACACCGCCCCAGTCTACACCGAACCTCACCCCTCCTACGCCCGGGTGTCGAGCCGCCAAACCGGGTTAAGCTCAGGGTTGAATTCGGGTCCTCTCGGAGACACAACTAATTTCCGAAGCCTCCCACTGGCGCCAACTCCAAGCTCGGGCCCTGTTCCGCAGCAGCCCCTCCCTATCCGTCGTGTTGTAACCCAACAACAGGCCGCCCAATACGGCCTCCGCAACCAGTGGCAGGAACAACCGTCTGTGCAAGGCCTCTACGTCGGCGTGCAGCCGCAGAGTGACCGCAGTCAGGATTGGAGAGGCCCTGTAAATGCGGGTCCAGCCGCGCAGGCCGAGGAGTCGCAACGAGCTCCGCAGAGTTTCGACCCGGCCGTAACAGAGTCCTTGTATCGGCCTAACCAGGGTGGGTACTCGGTGCAACCTAACCAAAGCGGTTTTCACCCTAACCAAGGTAGTTACCAGCAACAGAGTGGTTACTCCGAAGTTCGGTGGGGTAATTATGGACGGGATCGGGGCGGCTTCGCTGCACAGTTCCCGCAGCAACGGCACACAGACACGGGTGGCGGCCTTGAGCAACTGCAAGAGGTAGCCTACCAAGGGAGTCAACAATACGTCCCAGTAGGTTTGGCGAACTCCACAGCCCAATTGTCCTCCTTGTTAGGCCTCCCCTCTGGCACGGGGACGCTGCGAGAGGAGGGACGATAGCGACCTGCGTAATGAAAAGTTCCTTTTAGGACAGAACGTTCTCAGGAGTAGCAATGTTGGCCGTCATTGAGAATCACATACGACCCACATACGACCGTATATGAGATGCGGGGAGAGGTGTTGTTATGCGCGGTTGCGAAATTGCTCTTGTGTGCCCGAGAATGGGTTCAAGCCCAAGCATCTCGCTGCATGCAACGAAGTTGGTGGGCAAGGCAGTTGCAACGAAGAACACGAGTTCCAAACAATTTGAATACTTACCCGCAGATTTAGTCTCGCATGCCGATCGGATGTGGCCACAAGTTTTGGCACAGCGATTTGCATGTCAGCTCATTTCAGTCGCGTACACGATCTCTACAATAATCGAGTCCGGTCCTTGCAATCTCACGCCCGGCGCTGGACGACCTGGGCGTATCCCCTCAATCCAGATCGCCCAAGACACGCATGGTGTTCCATCCGCCCGGCCTTCAAGCCCCGTGCCGCAAGAGCTGGCCCATGACCGCCCAAGATTCCCGAGCCCAGGTTCCGTTACACCATGTTGTGGCCAAACTGAGTAGACGTCTGAGGGCCCTACGTTACCTACTCCGAATGAGTGAAATACCGTTCGCAGGCTCGTTCAAGCACTACCAGAAGCCTCAGTGGCATGATGCATGTGAAATAAGTATAGGTATATATGGTCAGGCAGAGCTGGCATGGCTATATATCATTATATAGCTGCCGGGCCGCGGGGCACCGCGTGCCGCAGCAAACTTACCATGACCCATTGGAACAATTAAAGCGACCATGCGCAATGATGCGCGTAAAACGTACAGCTAGACGAACAGCCCTAGCCACGTCGTCTGTATACAATATGATATATATCCCGTATATGCTTATATGCGATCATCAAAACGAATGTCAGTGCACGATCCTCATCGCGATAGCTTTTATATCAGTGCCTAACACGAAGATGCATGCTCCCTTTGATCATACGTTCAGAATACTTTGAGCGCGTGCTCATGCAAGACAATATTCAACGACCCGGACTGCAAGCGTCGGTTGAAGGGCGGTTTTGCAGGTATAGTGCCAATGATTGAGTTGCATTGCGATTGCTACAAGTACCAGTCTAGTAGGCAGATGCGATCCGATCAATTGGCTCATAATATATGAACCAGCTCGCTGTTCCCAAGGCTTTGAAGCTCGACAAGCTAGTACGGCAGCGCACTGACCATACGAAAGGTGCATGAACATTCCAAACGCATTGTGAAGACAATCATTTATGGATTGAATAACGTACTGATTATCAATCGCGTCTTATTATTAGTATATGCGTTTACCTACGGGATGACTAATGTCAATGAAAGTCTGTCAATCAAAGCTTATTGTTCAGCAAGTCCTTCCTACTGTTTATATACAACACGTGACGTGGCCAAAGCAACAAGACACGTACTTTCTGGCACACTTTACCACTCAAATGCAAGTGTCACGTTGGAAATTGCTTGATTACTTCTAGTTCTTCCCGAGTTGCTGGGCACTCCAGATCGCGGATTATCTTGTCGAATTGAGGGGATCTGTCAGGATATTTCAGCCCATCCCCGTCCTGTAGGTTCTCAAAGTAGTCGAAAAAGCTAGGCCCCGAAGTTGGCCACTCGGAATTCAAGTCACCCGGACGAGCCGTTACCTGCCTGCGACGCCCCAGACAAACGTAGATCAGTCTCTCAAAAGATTAAGGAACGAAGAAAGGGCAATCACAGGTGGGGTCCCACTCACTGCCAAGATTTACGGGGGAAAAGGAGATCAAAAGGGAAAGAAAGAGTTATAAGATCTGAAATGAGCGTATATAAGAGTCCAGTTATAGGTATGGAGTGGGCCTAGATGGCCGTTCAATGCCATTTCTCAATCACCTTTGGTCATCGATATTCTGAAAGTAAAATTGTGACGCATAAATGACGTTGCATCAAAGTTTATTTCGAGCGACTCGGACCCCGGTCTATGATCGACACGTGGTCTTTTTGACACGCGGCCCAATTGAAATGCCAAATTTTATGTCATGGCGCATACTGAGTGGGACCGAACATGTGAGATCCAGCTCTAAGAACGGGTGGGTTCCATGTTGACCAGCCTTTGCCTTTGATTCAAGCCATTCGCCTCAGAGCCTTGCCTCATGACAAAGCGTAATGTTTGCCATGCTTTGGGCAACAAACATCAAAATTTATAGAATCTGCAAAAAAACTACTGAACCCTATACGGAGCGCAGCTGATGGCCAAAACAAGATCCAGAGCGCCGATCTGGAGTGGGGAAGTTTGGCGCCACTGGAGTAAGCCATCGGAGTGTGAAAGCCAGGACGAAAAATAGCATTGTGAGCAGAACTCGATTTGCGCAGGCAGTATGTAGAAAAGATACTCACAATACTCGTTTTCATACTCTCAAAAGTTCGCTCTTGCACTTCAGGACTTCTGCTCAGATGAATGGGGGCAAGTTAAACTGTTGCGGAGAACGCTCACCACTCTTGGTCGGCGATCATGTCCGGCGAGAGTCCGAACGTCGCCAGTTCTTCATGCGTGTGGTGCGCTGTTAAGCTATACCTGCAGTAAGGGGCAACGAGTGCTGAGTGCGGCTCCAGTTCGATCTCCATTGGACCAGAAAGGAACAAATGAGGTACACAAATGCGAGGTCCTTGACCGTTCCGCAGAATAACGGAGAGATCAGTCCGGATTCTTGTGTATACCTGCAGAGAGGGCAACGGATTCTGAGTGCGGACTCCGCGTCAACCTTAATCGACTTCAGTAACTTTGGACGAAGAGATGTACACGATTAGGACATCATTTAACAGTCTTGGAGCAGCACGAAGAAGAGGCCTCAAAAGAAGCCGCGACCTGAACGTGCAGGAGGGCTCGTCAGTCAATCTCGCTCGTACTTTGCAGAAATGGATGCCACCGTTTGTAGACGGTGTTTCGTCGAAAACGGGTTGACAGTAGTAGTTTGCCAGATGAAACTCGCACGAGGGCGTTCCCGCTCAATCGTACTCAGGCGCCTCTCCATCGTAATTCTAAGAGCAAAGCCTTTCTCGTGCCAAGAAAGTTCAACAAATTCTTCACTGAAGGATGACATGAAAAGGGCGTGCATGCCGCCCTAGCTCCGCAAGCAGACAATCCGTGTGGCCAGATACTGCCGCTCGCTCCAACGGCTTCGCCAAGGAGCAACCAGTGACGTGAGTCTTGGAACTTTCGCTTGCTTGGTCCTCCCGTTTCAGAATCTATCAGAAGGTAAGGCCGTGTGACCAATTGGCGTCTACTGAATCGTCTGCATTGATCCAACCAGGGACTTCGTCCGAAGCAACTCTGCAGATAAAGAGGTGAGTCCTAACTGGCTCCCCGGCCCCGATCTGATGCGAGAAACCCCACATTCATAAAGTAATCCAGAAACCGACCGAATCAGAGGCTTCAGATCTAACCAACTTTGTAAGTGATAAGGTCGAGGTCTTCGCACTGGCCCCCCGGCCCTAGCTGTATGCCGAGGAACCCCGCGTTTCCGAAATGGTTGGAAAATTCAGCCCAACCGGAAGCTTCATTCTGTAACCAGCTCCGTAACCAGCAACGTCAACGTTTTCGCAGCGTCCCCTCGGCCCTAGCTCCATAACAACAAACCCCGCCTTTCCGAATCTGTGCAACTGCTGAATCTTCCAAGTCAACCAACCACAAAAAGTCTTCCTAACAGACCTGACACCACGAGTGCGAGGATTTTCTCACCGGCCCCCCAGATCCAGCTCCATAACGACGAACCCCGCGCCCTGTCGATATGGAGCTGCTTAATTGTCCAAAATGCGACCAATCAGAGAAGGTTCAATCAGACTAAGCGTGAGAGTATTCTCACCGCCCCCCCGGCCCTAGCTCCATGACGAGGAACCCTGCGTTCCCAAAGTTGTGCAGCGCCTGAAATTGGTCCACGGTCCACTTGTACCAACGCATGAGGAACACGCGCAGCGTCAGCCCGTGCGACACCAGGATCAGGTTCATGTTGGTGCGCCGGCTCGCCTCTTTTTGGAACCGCCCGACGTCGATGTCGGTCCGCAATGTTTCTCGGAAACCTAAACGGAGGAGGAGAGATTAGTAAGAGATGTCTCAGTAAGTTGGTTGTGCATCTCCCAGACAAAAAGAAATGGGACACAGAGCGCCTGACACCAGGAATGATTGCCTGTTGGTACTTCGGCTCGCCTTTTCTGGGACCGCTTAACATCGATGTCGATGCGTAGCGTCTCGCAAAACCCTGCGAGACAGATGAGAGAGATCAATAATTGCGATAAAAGGTGCCTGACACCAGAAAAAGGTTCCTGTTGGCGCGCCGGCTCCGTCTTCCTGGACCTGCCGAGTTCGATGTCGGTCCGAAGCGTTTCTCGGAATCCTGAAAGGGGGACAGGGAGACCAGCATGCTTGGTAATTTCGACTCTAGAGTGGTGTTCTGTGAGCCTCCAAGCACAAGCACAGCAGGGCAAAGCGACTGAGACCAAGGGTAAGGTTCACGTTAAAGCGTCGGCTCGCCTCCTCCGACGTCGGTCTAAAGGGTTTCCAAAACACCAGGAAAGCGGGTGAGGAAAAGATATCATCCTGGATAATTGTGTCTCAGAATCCGAATGGAATTGAGTCGCATCTGAGGAAAGCGCTTGAAGGCGCACGGCTGACGCGCCTGACGCTACGGGTCAGGTTGATGGTGGTGCGTCGGGCCCCCTCCGTTTGGACCTGCCCAACATTGATGTCGGAGCGAAGGGGGTCTCGTTAACCAGAGGAGCGAACGAAGAACTTTGACCATATGATTTACGCTAAAACCCCCACGTCCTTTTTGTATTTGGCAAGCAGTAACTGCTAGGAAAGAGCGTGAAAGTTTGCGCAAACGGAGCATCCGACAGCTGCGTCGGGTTGTTATCACCCGCGCCCTGGCCTCTTCCCCAACGACGATGTCGTTCGAAACTGCAGAAGCTTATGTAGTTGGGGGAAACGAAGGGGTTCCGTTTCACACACAGCCAGTCCTTGTTGAATCAACAGCAGGTTCTGACCTGTCACTCGGTCGTACACGTCAGCAGCGGACTCTCCGTCCGGGAAGCGGTAGAAGAAGCGGCCGAAGCGCAGCCGGATAGTCTTCTCAACGCGCATCTTCTCTCGGTCCTGAAAGTTACCTGCAAGGAAGATACTTCGGCGTCAACGGAAACTGTTCTTGATTGCTCGTTTCGAGGGTCAATCAAATCGGCACTCCCGCAATTATCCGAGGGAGTCCCTGTCCAGCCTTCATGTCCGACATAACATTACGGCTTTGCTTGAAGCTTCTCACAATTTCGCAGCTCAGGACGACGCGCGCCTCAAAGGTCGGGTGGGGTTTCAGAACACACTCTACTCGGGGCGAAGCAGCAAACGGGAGTGCCATACAAGGTACTTCAACCAAGAAACTACTGAACCAGATTAAAATTCCAGTCATCACCCAAGTCCCACAAGCCCTCCCGTCTTTGACCACAGCTCCATCGCTCCTAGGAATCATCCTGACACTCCCTTTGGAACTCATCTATGTTGGGTGGATGCGCATCCAGAACTCTCGTCAGTCTCAATTGGCGTTCAATCCTACTCCAGACTTTGCGGATGGAATTCCAATCGAGTCCGCCCCTCACCAAAGTCTTGCTCCCGCAGGCGCGGCTCCTCCCGCACCCCCGCGATCCTCCGCCGCTCGAACGCGGCCCCGATGCCACGCAGCGTCTGCAGCGTGCGCAGGTACGGCGACACGTAAAAGTAGACCATCCAGTTGTCGTCGTCCTCCGCTTGTCCCGCCTGAATGATCTCCCGGATCTGCCGCCCGGCCTCCTCCGCCTGATGCTTCCCTTGCTTGGTGAGGCTGATCTTGGAGTCGGGGATGCGCGTGTACATGCTCTCGTCCACGTTGCCCTGAAAAGTTGAGTGATCAAAATGTTCAATCCTGTTATCTTCTGAGTTCTCAGTTCTTCAAGGAGGCAGAGTTGTTAGTGGCGGGCTAGTACATGCTCTCGTCCACGTTGCCCTGAAAAGTCGAGGGATCACAAGATGTACTTTCCTGGAAAGTTTTGCGAACCGTTGTTCTCTGTCGAGGCAGAGTTGTTAGTGATGGCTCAGTTTGACAGAAGGCGCCTCAAAGATGCATTTTAGTTTGGTCATGAATATTCTCCTTTCACTGTCGCAACTGGAACTGGTTTGCTTTACCCACTTCTGGATGTTACAGGATGCATGCCTGCAGACGGGGGCTTGCCCTACTTTGTTTCGCGAATCGAGTTTCAGGCGCAATGAAAGGGGTTGAGAGGTGGATACGGGCAGAGAAGTACCACCCGGGCTTCCTACCAGAATCATTTGAACCAAGTGCTCATTTGACCCTGACACTTCAAGATGATGTTGGACCGCATCTGCATCTGCATATCATACATTAAACAAGTGCCGTACACCAAAGTGACCCTACTGCAGATCAAGTACGAACCAGGCAACGCGAACAACCTACCAGTATATTGCAATTTGATCCAGACAATATCGTCCCCTTCAAGCAGCAGTGTCTTCTTAGCAGTACTTCTTGCCAAACTCATACGGTGTTTTGATTCCAACAGGGGCACGATGACCAAGAAGCCCCACCTCGCTTTCACCATGCCGCACAAGGAAGATCCTGAAGGGCCGCTGCGGCCGGTCTGAGACAAAGTCCGGCGGAGGCGCTGTAATATGGACCTCGTCGCCTTTCACAGCTTGGAGTGCGCGCCTGCAGCAAAGTGATTGCTTTTTAGTATCTTCGTTTGAGCTTTGAAGGCTTCAAATGGTCAATTTGAGGCTTAGGTGACTGTTGAGAACCGGATGCATCCTCGCCTATCTTCCCGACTTTCTTTCACCATCACATTCTCAGCCTGGATACCAGAACCTCTAGACGAAGACTCTGTCATGGCAGGGAGCATCTGAGGGCGAGTGGTTTCCAGATCTGAGTATTGCTTCCTTTTCCCGTGCTGAGCTACTGAGGATGCAAAGAACTGTCGTCACACACCCAGCGGAGCCCCCTGTTTTAGGGAAGCAGAGAGACCAAGCAAAAGGAGAGCATCAAAATTGTATTGATGATTGATCGATAATCAATGAGCATCAAATTGTAGTAATGACTAACCTTCTCCAGTTGATGTTTCCTCGATGGTTCTTCTCCTCTTGTGACTCTGGTGTCACTCCATTCCCGTTGTCATTGCCCCTTCGAATCCCTCCTGAAACCGAAGGCAGCTCCCCCGGTTGCGCACGATTGCTGCCAGAAGACCCGCCTTCGTTTGGTTGCAGATTGCTTGAAGAACCTTCCGCACAGGCTTGAGCCTTCTGTATTGTTCGGGCCCCTCTCAACGCTCTTGATCTTCGGCTTGGAGGCAAACCGCTACAGATCTTGTCAGGCGCGTGTGTTCCGGGATCTTCAAAGACGCCCGCTTTGACAGTCTTGAGCTCCACTTCCCGCCGGTCTGCTTTGCTGTGTGCTGAAGCATTTCTTCCAGAAAATGTGCCAACCAATTTTCTTGATGAGTTCTGGTGATCCCAAGAAAGTATTGCACAAGACTTGCGTTTTCCTTGCTTGAAAAGCTGACCAGAACAGGTCTGACCACTTAAAGGAGGACTGAAGCATTCTCTAGACAGTTTCACTGTAGCCTCCATTGGTGAACGCTCACTTGCAAATCGCCTGCGAATTGTAGATCAGGAGCTCAATCGAACAATTTGTCGGATGGATGCTGCGCCCTGTTGCGAATCTGTTCCTCTTCATTCGGCAATGAAGCAGCAGAAAAGTTTGAGAAGGGAAAGCTGCCCAAATTCTAAGACTTCTGAGACCAGCGCTCTTTCAATGCAGCTTGCTGGTTTTCATTTCCATCACTGTCACATTGTCATCAGAAGGAGCAGTGCGCGCTTGTTGCTGGATCGCAACCAGTCACGCAGTTGCGTAACCACGCCGCCTGCACGTGATCTGGGTTTCGAGGAAACTTATCTAGTGTCAAAACTTGAGCTCCCTGACGACCATGATGAGATTTGACACTTCCAGCGTGCTCCCTGATTGGAGAAGGGTTAGGAGCGACCTGACGGTTGAATCTGCTGGTGAAGTAGGTTAGTACGTAACCAGTCTCTTAACCCAAGCTACGAAAGTCGGGCAAAGAGTGCTCTTGAGCAGCTGCAGCTTGGCCCAGAGTTGAAGCCCCAGGAAAGCCAGATTGGTCATCCATTAACTCACTGTAAGATTACTGAAGAACAATACAGGGTAGAATGCAGGGGCGCAATGTGCCTCGTGATCATGATTGATTCGACGAGTGCTGTAGCAGCTCCAATTCATTTGAGCACAATCCGAGCAGTCGAAGGCTCGTGATCATGAGCTGAAGATTAAGAGCTCGCTATCGGGGCATTACGTTCTACGAGCAGCCCATTCAGCTTAAGATACAGCTTCGCTCTCCGAAAGATAATCCGGATCATTCATTCTGTTCTGCTTGAAATTCCTTCTCTGCAGAAGTGAGCGGTGACGCAAGGTGGAGTAAGAGGAGGCGAGCTTCCTGATCTTCGAAGCGAAACAAGAGCTTCAAGAGCATCGGCGCAGTCGACAGAGTCGAGCGATTTGTGCCGAAGTAATCAAGAAGAGCTCATCGGTCAGATTACCAAGGGCTTTTTCTAGCTTGTCAATGTGATATGGAGCTTCTCTAAGGCCAGCTGTCGATAAAAAAACAAAGGATTAAATGGCGACTGCAAGCACAGCCCTGGGAAGAAGACCTGCAAGGCTAGATGGACAGGTGCTCGTGCATGCCTCGACCTACGGGAATGTGGGGACCAGTTCGAGGCAGAAAGTGGTCCCCCTTCGAAACGTGACCAGAGCAGGGTCCTTCTCTAGAGTCCTTCTCCACAACAATTTCTTGAGTCAGAAGCATTCCGAGGCCGGGTCAAATGCAAAGAAGAGAACGTCTAGAAAACTTTGCCCCGCACAGTATCTGGGAATCAGAGCTGCAGCGAGTGCAACTCATGAGGGAAATGCAGGGGACGATAGAAAGACACTCTTTTCTTTTCAGGGCTTTTCTAGTGAGGGAGGCCATGACAAGGCGGGAATGCAGCATGCACGTGGCAGCGCTGACGATCAGACCCAAGCCTGGGACGTTCTGGGGAACGGAAAGAAGCAGAATGCAGGGAGACGGACGTCTGCTGACGTTGCATCCGGGTCGGCTGACGTCAGCAAAGACCAGCCTGCGCAGCAGAGGGAGCGCATGCAGAAGAAAGGCGATGAAGAGGGGTGGGGAGAAAGAGAGGCGGCGTGGCAGCGGATGAAGGTGCCGAGGCTGACTGCGGTCGGGACGCCTTACCCCAGCACGTGGATGCGACTATTTCAGATCGTGAGGTCTCAGCCGAAACGTCTGTTTCACATCGTGAGGGTTCACCCGGAGGAGAGAGAGGGTGGCAAAACGGAGCGGACGGGAGGGGATGGAGATGCGCAGAGGCGGGACGGAGATCAGCGAAACAAGGGGAAGGGCGATGACTCGCGGAAGGAAGGCAGAGGGGACGGAGAAAAGCAGGGGAGGAGAGTTGCGCTGAAGGAGAGAGGCAATGAGCAGGATCCATGGGCAGGAGATGAAAGGAAGGAGAAGCAAGGGATAGGAGATGGGCGAATAGAGATACGAGGTGAGCAGAAAGAGGAGAAAGGGCACGAGCAGCATAAGAAACGAGACGAGCAGGAGGGGGGGATAGGAGATGGGCGGGAGATAAGAGGCGATGAGCAGCGGGGGGTGGAGCCGGACGAAGAGGCGAAGAAGGCGGTGCACGTGGCGGGCCTGGAAAAGGACCGGCAGGAGGAGCGGGTCGAGAAGCGCGTCAGGGCCAGAAAAGCAGGTGGGCATGTTCTGAAAGTTCTTCGGTTTTCCAAGTCTTCAAACTTCATTTGAGCGGTTTCTTAGTCTTCAACCTTTTCTGAGCGTTTCCAAGTCTTCAACACCTTCTAAGCGGTTGGAATTGTGTGCACGGGTATGTATGCGATTCAAAAACCTCTTCTCCGCTTGTGCCGCTGCTTTTGCACTATGGCACCCTTTGTTGCCTGCAAAGTTTGACGAGACTTTTTGCGGATGTGATGATTCATGCGGGTCAGCTTTGCACGAAGCTGGACCAAACAAGTGTGATTTGACAACGGTTGAGCTTTGTCACGCGGCGGCAATCGCGCCCAGTCTAGTGGCATACGGTTATGATTCAAAAAGGCCAAGAGCGTTCTGTTCTTCTCAACAGAACGAAGGGGGCCGTTAGATGCCAGAAGACCTCTTGCAAAAAGTGACTCAATTCCGTCAATGATATAAGCTGTCAACCGCTTAACGCAGAGGCTTCTTTGTGAAACAAGGAGGAAATTTGGTGAACCTGTACCTAGTCTTCTTTCACCGCCTCTGTTTTCTGTATTCAGTAATGTCCTTGAGAAAATGGATAGAAAACTTGGACGCCCAATGCGCCCCAGTGCTGGCGGGTTATCCGGACCACCGTCAATTTCGGGGCCGTCCAAGTCTGGGTGACTCCGTTTCTTCTCGTGCTTTCAAAGTTTGTAATCACTTAGTTGAGTGCGTCACAAGTGGTTCGCTTTTCATTAGCTCGAGTTCATCAGAAGTTCCTTGTTCATCAGACTTGAACTAGAGTTCTGGATCTGAATCCTGGAAATATCCGCCGTTCGATTTACCGGCCGCGAGAAAGCACGTGGTATCAACAAAGCTCGAGTCCAGTGCTGAATTAGCTGTGCTGTGGCTCTGTGACCTACTTTGAATTGTTTGAGAAGGATAGCGTCGAAAAGGTCCTTTCGAAGGGCACTCGAGACTGTCCGATGCAGACTGTCCTCGACTCCGACCTCTGGCCTTTTTTGAATCTTTCCGTTGAAAACAAAATATTTAGATGAAATTTCGAGAGCTTCTTGAGACTGCTTCGACGAAGAGTTCTTCGTTTCTAGGAAACCCCTCAGGGCCTGGATAGCCTCAAAAAGATGACTTAAACCGCTGTCGGGACCACAGATTCAGAGACCTTTCGAATTTCTGCCGGCCAACGGCATTGTTGATGGAAAGAAACGGCCTGGATGATGTGGCCGCAGCACGGCACAGATTCTAGATAGTTTACCATTTAGCACTGAGCTCCCGGTCCCGGAAGTTTTCCTCTCAGTCGAGGCAAAGTAGGTGTTTGTAAAAGCAGGAGCGATTGGAACCCACGAGTTTTATTTTAGAAGTCTTGCCTTTGCGCTGTTTAAAACTCATCAGATTGGTTTGACCTTGCATCGACTGGACAGCCAGGATGTATCGTACTGGGCCCGACGGCATTGCCTTCGAGGACTTGAGGCAAGGTGTCGTCGAAGGATTCGGTGCACATTTTGACCATGCAGCCTCCGTTACTTCCGCTTCTCTCGTGTGTATATGCTTCATTAAAGGATATTCAACTTCGTGCACTGGGCTTGTCTCCCTTTTCCATCTTGCTACCAAATTGAGAAGCATTTTGAATGTCTCAAGGCAGTTGATTGCTAGGCCATGAAGATCAGCCATCCGCGGCCCATCGGGCCAAACGATCCGGTCGGCACTTCTGATCCGCTCGGCTCTTCTGATCCACTCTTTGTCATCGGCAGTACGTACTTTCCTCTGTATCGACCGCGCTAGCTTGGTTTCTCGGAAAGCAAAGTAATGGCACTTCTTGTTTGTCTTTCCCGCTGCAGAGAAGAAAGCAAAGGAAGAGGAAACATTGAGCCCGCATTCACACCCGGTGAGCGACTGGAGCACACAGGAGGTGGTAACGTGGGCTGCGGACCAAGGCTTCCTCACAACTAAGGTGGACGTCCACCGCTTCCTCAAGTGAGCCCGCTGGCCTTTCATTCAGGCGCTCGACATCTCGACGCGTTTCCAGAATCTGAAAAAAGTTTTTCGTACGTCAGAAGTTGGTCAAAGTCGGGGCTGTTCTTGTGTTCGTGTGTTTCTAGGTTCAACGGGCTGAAGACGCATGAATCTGTCTCCTGGTAATCCACCGTATTCACAGGGGAACTCGAGATGGCGGACATGCCATCGCGATCTAGTCGAAGAGAAAAGCTTGTCGATTCCCTCCCAGTACTAACGGGAGGAATTACAAGAAAAGGACCAGCTTTCCGTCAGCACTTGCTCTCTCGCTTCGAGAAGCAAGAAGGAAACACTCAAAACGTCAGCAAATATTGGTCACGTGCTCAAGAGAGGATTTCCACGAAGTGTTTTACCGTCATACTCGAAGGATCGCCGGCAAAGAAAGCTTACAGAATTAGGACGTCCGTTTTCTTTGCAGGGCCAAGATCGCGGGCGCGGACCTGCCCTACTGGACGTCCGAAGACTTCGAGGAGATTGGGCTGCCCAAAGGCCCCGCTAAGCGCCTCGTGCGCGCAATCAACGAACTGGCGGGTGAGGCCCTTTTCGGAAATTCCCTAACGGCACAGATATTTTGGAATTTAATTTTAACCATCTCTAATGGTCTGAAACGGGCTCGGCTTCGAAAAAGTGTGTCTGGCTGCTGTTCTTAGGGTTGCCTAGCGTCCGAGAAAAGTCTGGGGGGCCTTTCCCATCTCTGAACACCTTCAGGGAGTCGGTGCGAGAGCTGATCGCATTCCGCTCTGATTCCGTCAGCGGATAAACAAATGCTTTTCTCTGGCTGCCAGAAAAAGCGATTGCCGTCAGGACAGTCGCAGAAGTTACTTGTGAAAGCTGCTACGGCCCTGATATTGAAAGCGCGGTAGGTAGGACATATGCTGTGATGTTTGCTAGGTTGGACCTCAATGCCATGTCCTCAGCTTTCTTTGGAACGAAAAGAATGTCCGTCCTAAAAGATGATGATCATGGATGCCGCGTGCAGCATTTTCAGCTGGCTAGTGGACAGAAGCCGTTTCTTGACGAAAGCTGTTTCCAAAAAGCAATCAGACAATCTCTTCTAGATTACGCAAAGGCTCAGGGACCCCTTTTCTGATTGCCATGTACAATATTGTCGCCGCAGTTCGGCGCACCATCCGCGTCCAGTTCCCCTTCGACTGCGTCCCTGCCGGCGAGGAGGAGGCTGACGTCACTGACGAAGAGAAGAGTGACGCCAGCCCTGACGCCATCCTGACCGCGGAGGTGACGGTAAGAGATGACGACGAGCTGACGGAGTTCCTGGGCGAGATGTGCGCGCTTGGGCTGGTGCGCATTCGCGACGAGAGCGCCACGTCAGCAGCCGAAGAGAGTGCCACGTCAGCAGGCGAGCAGGGAGAACATGATGCCCCGTCAGCATCGGCGGGGGCCGTGAGGCTCGCCCGGTCGATCTGGGACCTCGAGAACGGCGGGCTGTACTGGCCTTTCTATGCAGACTAACGGGTGAACGAGTGCTGCATAAAGAGCTAATTTGGAACCACATTACAAGAAAACATTGAAATAAAAAATAAGGATAGGTGGCGGCAGGAGAGGCGGGGCTTTAGCATCTGGTACGGTTAACGTGAATCAGGTGGCGACGTCGCGCTTCGACTCGCCTGACTGGCAGATAAGCTTTCGAAAGATGTGCCAGCACAAACTTCACTTCTTAAGCAGCGACTCGCATCTTGAATGTCTCTAACGAGAGCTGACCTTGTCCTCGACCCTGTCCTCACATTATCGACGCATACGTCTAAGACTTTAAAAGTTCTAAGTCCTCTTATCAACCTCAATGTAACAGATCGAAGTCGAGTCACTGTGCGGGTCTCGTTCTTAATGCCCTTTGCCGATTCAACTGAGGGTTGACTCCACAAGCCCCACAACTCATTCCGATTTTTCGCGTCCGCGTATCCTGACTGGTATGTCGCTGTTGAATGAGAGATCATCTCATGACAGTCTCTAAGTTTATATTGCTCCGAGTCCTGAGTGTCGCAAAGAATATTAGTAACATCTGAAGGAAACACCGGATGAAGACGTGATCAAGAACAGGTCATTACCTTGTTTCACAGCATTGTCCGACTGTCCGGGTCCACAGTGCGCCGCACTAATTGGTCGCGTGGATTGATTGCCGAGATGGGTCTTTCCGTATCCTTTTCAAGGTGACGACGTGGTTGAGTCGAGTACGTTCTCAAGTTCGACCTCCCGTCGACTTTAAGACGTGTATATTGTTGGACGATTTTGGACGGCGAATGCCAAGTCATGTACGGGGGAGCCGCGCCGTCTCCACACCATGCAAGCTCGCACTTGTAAGAGCCTCATATACCCCTTTGTCCATCGACAACGTACACAACGGGCTTAATTCCACTTATCCGTCGTTCGACAACCATCCAGAAGAAGAATGATAAGGAATCTACTGGCCCATTCGTCGTCTCGTCGGAATGGCGTTCGGATGATCATTCATGGGCCCGTCGACGATCACGGAAGAAACCATCAGCGATCGGCCGGGGCGCAGGGGCGATAGCCGCATAGCGGCCGGATAGCGGCCGGAGTCGGCGCCGGATCGAGTCCGATCGGAAATTCATCAATCAATGATTGCCTGCCACGGAAGCATCCAATCATTGACCTCCTGCAATCCAGCGCGTGGACGGCGGCGACTCCGAGCGGCGGAACTCAATCTACGGAGTCGCCAGCAGTGACGTCTTATACGACCGCCCCCGGTATGTGCGCAGAGTGCAGATCGGGATTCGGAGGCCAAAGCGACGGACGCGCTCTGAGCTTCCATTTGGCGTCCTCCTACACGCTGGTGGAAGGAAGCTTGGGCTTCTGCTGCTAGCCAATGCCAGGTAACTTGTTTGCGAATAATTTGGCTTGCAGGTTGCAGGATTCTACCTAAATGTCGAGAGAGAGCTAGATTCCACATTCGCTCAGCACTTGCTGCACCGCCATTTGCACGTCAGTTCCCAGAACACCTTGAAGGCGCCAGCCAGAACGTGTAGGTGTAAAATACACGGAACAGCTCCTACAGGGCTGGCTCCCTGAGGCGTGGAGGCTGCCCGCGTTTCGACTTGTCTCAACACGTACGTCCAGCTTCATCAGCTTGCAGTCAGGACTATTGAGCAAACTTCAGCTTCAGCTGAGAAGAGAGTTTAGCTGGGGCACCGTCCCTTGTAGCTTCTTGAATTCTATTTCAAGTCAGAATTATGGCTATGAGCTATGGTACTAGCTTGGCGTTACTGGTCCTGTCAGTGGTCGCCATTGTGGCGTCTGCTTCGGACCCAGACCCGGTCGCAGACTTCATCCTTTCCGGAGCCAATGGGGCCCCAGGTGAGAAAGTTGAGGCGCCATATGATACCGAGGGCATTCTCGAACGTTTTAAGGAGCCGAGCAATGCAGCATGCCTCAGCTCTGCAAAAAAAAGAGTTGTCAGACTGTCATACGTAATCAACTCTTCCTGAATGCTGGGCATATCTGCATTCACTCAGGCTGAAGTCCAAAGGCTGTGTATATGAAACGTGGATCAGAAAGCAATAAGTTTGCAAGCAAATTACTAGAGCTGCATTGACACAACCCGGTCTGCCATTGACCACCTGCATGCGACAATTCACCGGGTTTCAAAGTAAGGGCACCTTTGGCAAGTAAGACAAAGGTAAAATGCTTTTACCAGCAGCATTGACCCCAACTTCTGGATGTCATGAGCTTCAATGTTGCTTGGTGGGCTGCAGTGACTGGCGCCAACTTTGCCTTCCGTGGTCTCAACAACGTCAATGTGACGTCAGGCCAGGGCAGCGCCGCCAAGCCTGCCATCGCCGCAACATTCCCTGCTCTCGCGTAAGGCCTCACTCCCATTAGGAAATCGCTTAGCATTGAGACACAATGTTTCTGCAGACAGATGCTGTGCAATGCAGGGCTCTTCATTGTGGTAGATAGTTCTTTTGTGGACCAATCAATCTGTCTGATGTCGACTCTCAACTTGTCTGATCTTGCTTCTTGACTGCCCGTAAGGAAGTCCCTTTATCAACTCTTCCTATGTTGGCGCTAGGCCAGTCATGGGCCCTAGGCTTATCCTACATCACATCTTGTGTCATGGTGAATTTAAGCGTAGCCACGCTGAATGGGCAGTAAAGCTTGCCACTCCTTGCAGGTCCCAAGGCATCTCAGCCGCCTTCTATAACTATGCGCCGTGCGGCCAAGTGTGAGTTACCGTGTGTTTCTACAGATGTTTCCTTTTTCCAACTTTTTTGACCTAGATAGGAACGTTCCCCTGACCTTGGTGGTGCTTCAATCTTACTGGCTTTTTCTTTCCAGTCTAGTTAGCCTTTGCATTTAGACCGTTGACCCCGTCTAGGCCTGTCCAGAGTTGGCCGGGAGTCCATGTTCTCCTCAAGGTGCGTTCCGTTCGGTTCCGTTCCGTTCTGTCAATCTGCATCCAGGCCGGTCCGGTCAAACGTGTGACGTCATCTGGACTATTTGCAGAATTTGATCCTTCGGCTCACCTGCGTTCCTGGGTTTTGGCTGTTGAGCGCCGCGAGCGCCTTGGCAGGATTGTCCGGGCTGGTGTTCTGCTGGAAGTGGATCAGACCGCGGGGGAAGACGAACACGTCACCCACGTTCAGCGTCGTTGCGTAGAGAGTGTCTGCAGGACAGGGGGATTGACGACGTCAGCATATTGCTTGCGAGACTGCGTTCAAAACGAGCCTAAGGGAAGAGGGACACGTCGAGCCCAGCCTTATTCACAGTAGCGTATCCTACAGACGACGTCAGCATTGAAGCAGGCTCTGGCAGACAAGCCCTTTATCGGCACCAGGTACCGTGACAGAGAGAGGAAGGCCGGAGGCGGTCTCATCTTAGTCGAAATAAAACAGCATCGGGTTTTATCATGTGGTTCTGTAGGCAATCCGGAGAATGGCCTTCTACCCAAGTCCCATATATAAAAGCTCCCCTTATATGCAGGAGTTGAATGGAAAGAGGGAGCAAGGCTAGTTCAGACGATCAAAGGGAAACTGAGCGAAGCACATGTCACGGTCGGTGATGAGACGTTGTCGGAAAAGTGAAGGACCATTGTAAACGCACATATGTTTATTAAGGCAACCGAAAACCGTTCTTCGACACTTAAACAACTGTCGTTAGCACAACGATTGTAATCAGCCGGGTATGGTGGGCGGAACTCACTGTTGGTGTCAACGAAGCCGGCGTACAGCTGGCCCTCAATAACGTACAGGATCTCTGTTGCGCGGGGATGGGTGTGGAGGGGTCTGAAGAACCACAAAGCAATATGTCAGGAAAGGTGTCTCCAGCTTCTTTGCACGAAGAATCGCTCCAATATGTGGGTCAACCTGACAAGGCTTTGATTCTCTATGTCACTGAATATGCAGGTTCTGAATGGCCTCCAAACAGGTGTATGTGCTAGCTAGGCTTTGCACACTTAACCAGAAAGTCGTAAAGTCGTTAGAAGAGGCCAGCTTCCCGCAAACCCTTGTACCAAAAGGCTCACAGTGATTGCTCTGGTTAGGCTGTGCAACCAAACAGCCTTGATCCAAGTAGGCAAGTTTTGCGACACTCACTGTCGGGCCGAATGGTCAATCTGGGGGTGTTATACCCAAGGGGGTTCATCACATTGCACAAGCTGGCCGGGAATCCATGTTCTCCCTCTTACCTCTTCTGGCAGTCTTGCGATGGTGAAGCTGAACAGAGCGCTTGTGAAAGAGCGATCAAGTCCAAGGACCTCTAAGATGAGCCGGATATTTTTTTGAGTACCAGGTTTATGATCAGGTGGTCGCGTGGGGAAACAGGAGCGCGAGCTTGTTTTTACCCGCCCGCTCTGAGTTCGATAGATTGGCAGTCTTGCAGTGGTGATATTGAACAGAGCGCTCGGGAATGAACGATCAAGTGCAAGGATCTCCTGAACGATCCTATGGACATGCCTTGAGTACTCTAGAGATTTTGATCATGCGGTCGAATCGAAAGCAGGCGCACGCGCGTGCGCGAAGCGCTGTGCGCCCTTCATCAATGCCAGCGTTTTCATTGTGTGTCGAACCTGTGAGTCACTTAACAAGTCAGGCGCCTTTTTCTTCTTCAATCAAGCGTTCGAGCGGAAAAAAATCGACCAGGAGGCAGGCTCTCCTTCTTCCGCCCTATTCTCTGCGGCTGTGGGGTTAGCTTTACTTCGTATGGTGAATCGTCCGAGAAAACGGAGTTTACGGATTTTGTTGCCTAACTTCCAAATCCGCCTTCTCTGCAGAGAGATGACAGCGCGCTCTTCCTACCCACCGGCGTTTCCCACCAGCACTTCTTTCTCCTTTCTTTCTGCCCATTTGCAATCGTCCGAGGAGCGGCAGCGCGATATTCGTGCCCACTGACATCAACTTTCGGCCCATGTACAAACTTCTGATAAAACGCTCCTTCAATCGTGGTGCTCACATCCACCGCTTCTTGCAGAGTTCGCAGCACGCCCTTTCTGCCCACCGGCATCCCATTCGCATTAAATTCTCGCGCGATCGCATCGTCCTTCTAAAGCTTCGTCAAACTTGCGGCTCACATCCTTCGCCTTCTATCCAGAGAAGCGGCAGCGCGCTCTTTCTGCCCATTGGCGTCCGAACTAGCATCTCCACCGGCCCGAGTCCTGCAAACCGTCCACTCTATGATCGTGCGTCTCAGATCCTTCCCATTCCCTGCAGAGAATCGGCAGTTCGCTCTTCCTGCCCACCGGTGTTCCCACCAGCATCCTTCAAGTCGCATTCAATGCGGAGGCGTCAGCAATCGAAGGCATCAAGCAGAACTTTCCGCCGTCCGGGAACGCGGTCGGTACCGCTGACACGGGGTGCGGACCCGGCGTGACGTACCCGTCTAACTGAAAGACGCGGTGATTTAGGTAAGTGAGTGAGTGAGTGAGGTGTAAGTTATTGGCTGTCAGAAAGAGTTCATGGAAATTGTAGACCGGAGAAATCGTTTCTTTCGAGGGGGCTTCAAGCGCTTTGAAGCGCGTCTACAAGAGTTAGATTAAAGACACCTCTGTTTACAAAGTGAGATCATCTCTGGTACGTTGACCGTGCTCGGACGTGGCCGACTACAGTCCCTGCCCCTGCGCTTTCCCGTTCACGTATTTTGCCTCAAGGCCGACCGCTAACGCCAATGACTTTTCGCCACCCGGAAAGAATAGACGCAAAAGGAAGATCAATGGACTCAAGCTTGGTTCTCTATCTGCTGGGGATCACTCGCGCGCACGAACGATAAGGATTCGCAATTTACATACAGCTTCCTCTTGGATTGTGTATTTGTGGCGACTCGTCAGTGCAAAAGCGTTTGGATATGATCAATCTGCACATTTGACAAGCAAGGACCCGCAATGAAGAAACATTCATCCGTCCCTTGCTTGCGTCTTCAACTTTCCTAGCCCGCCTCCCGCAATTTGTTCCCCTTCTGCGCCCGTCGATGGGCGAGGTCGAAGGGAGTCCTTTGGGTTTCAAAGGAAAGCAGGTGGTATTCAGTTATATAGTGCATCAGAAGCGAAGGCCAGACAGGGTATCCAATCCGAAGCTACATGTTTAGACTTTGGGGCGCGCTGATCAGCTTCTTGATGTCTTACTGCCGGAACCTAACAACCCCGGCCCTTCTCTCGGCGTTCTCTGCGTCTTTCATGCGCATGCGGTGTCATGTACCGCAGCCCTCTAAGGCCTCCCTCACCCAACATGAAACTCATTTAGACGCTTCCAGATCGATCAAGCAATCAACTTCGGAATCCTCGCCACCGTGAGGACTTGAAAGACCTGCACTTGAATATCTACGCGACCGAACCTTTATTCTTTGACTATAAGCTGTTATGACAAGCTCCAAGCATTGACTCAGCGAGAGCCGATTGCTGAAACGCATGGACAACCAGGCATGTAGCTAGATAGTACTTGGCTTGAGTCTAGTTCATGAAGAATCTGTTTCCTCATCACTGGTATTTCGTGGTTCTAGCCTCTTGGGTGCATGGCTCCCATATATCCTCTAATTCGAGTAGGTCGCTTGATCAATTCTAACATCTAATTCTCCTTACTAATCGGGCTTTTGAAGTCTACGTTTGGAAACAATTCATTTGTCAATCCAAAACCACTGCTTGTAAAGAAATGAGTACGTAGTGAGCCGGACATTATACACGCAGTTTTGCCAAAGTTTTGCATTCACAACGAAACGTTCCGAGCTCGAGTCCGATATTAAAGCTGACGTCCTTGTAATCAGTATAATGTGGATGTTGCCGGCTCGACGTTGCCTGACGAGCGAGCTGGGCCGGGACGACCACTTTAGTCACATGTGGAACCGTGCACATTTATTCAGGGAGTGCAGAGTCGCGACTTGACCCGTGCCAGGTCTATTATGACGGATTCAGATGTGGCCGCGAAGATGCAACGCTATGTAACTACTTGCAAGTTGCAGTACGTGTACGCAGAAGCGCCGTCTGAGTGCGCGGGCGCGCGCGGCGGCATCCACTGGCATTGGCATGGCCGGGATCGGAGGCTCAGTGCGGTGCGGTACGTAAAACGTATCGCAGGTTTGAACTTTGTACCAAGGTCGTATTCGGCGGGGCATGTGCCTGTCCTTGTCAGCACCCTCCGTCATACCGTCGCAACCTGCGCGCGAGCCGTCGGATGATGTCACCGGAAGCATTTAATGCGACAATCGAGAAGGTCAAACTTCTGTCTGCGCTGCGCATCTCACAGGAAGCTGCCGCCTCACGAATCAAAAGTCAGGGTCAACTTTAGGCTTGGCAACCTGAGTTCTGAAGACGCCGGGTTGACGCACACGGCCCCACAAGCAGCAAGACTGAGTCTCACTCTATGATTTCAGAGCACACGTCATGCAGATCAGGATAGTACCTCTTGTGACGTAAGTTTTGCGTAGGTTCAATATGCTGGGGTGAGCTCATGCTCCTGACAGTGAAGTTCCCTGCAAAGACCAGCTAAGATTAGAAAGCAAACGGTGGGACGTCGCATGGCTGGCATTACTGCAGTGCACCGGACTCCTGGAAAGACCTGTGCTCTGCCACATGCATTGCGGTCAAACCCTGCAGCACGCAGTCATGGCTAATCTGACCAAGTCTTTCCGAGTCTTACTATGGAACCAGCTGGGCGGATCCAATATCTCCAGCTTCTGATATATAAGCTCCAAAAAGAGCGTCGTAGCTACAAAAGTTACAACAGCAGCTCCAGCTCCTTCAACCAATTCCTCCGATCCAGATTGTGATCTTCATCCACACTCAGCTCCAAACGGCCCTGCTGTTTCCGAGCAGCTAAGAGCTGTGGCTAATCAGTAGATACAAAGAGCAGCGTCCAGCGCGTCCCTTATAGTCCATTCTTTCACACCAAGTCCAACCTTTCCTAGCTACCATCCCGCCGCGTGCTACGCCAACGCAGGGAACCTGCTTGAAGCAACCCAACAGTGCTAATTTAGTCCACTGCGGATATAGGCTCTCACGTCCCTCTCAGAAATATGGCCATAAGCTATCGCACCGGCTTGGCGCTGCTCGTCCTGGCAGCGGTCGCAGCTGTGGCGTCCGCATCGGACGCGGACCCCCTTGCGGATTTCGTACTGTCCGGAGTGAATGGTGCACCAGGTAAGTCTGGTATCTCCAAAACATCCTCCAAGATTTGAAGGAGCTCAAAGTCCGGGAGTTTACAGAAGTGATGCTCATAAGGTAGAATGATATGATATATTCAGGAGTCACGGATGCAGGCTCCTCAAGTCTGTAGCTAGCGACAGATTTTTAAGCCTTGGGTCTCAACTAAGGTGCTACTGTAGTCGCCTGGGTCTCAAACAAGACCCCAGTTGCTAAAAGGCAGTCTCTACAAAGCAGGTTCACCAGTTGCAGATATAATGCAAAAACATTTTTTTAAGGGAGTGTGAAATCTTTTCTGGTTGTCCTGAAGCTCTGATAGCTCTTGGTGGGCTGCAGTGACTGGTGCCAACTTCGCCTTCCGTGGGCTCAACAACGTCAACGTGACGTCAGGCCAGGGCAGCGCCGCCAAGGCTGCCAATGCTGCAACCTTCCCCGCTCTCACGTAAGGCTCCAGTCCCTTGAGCAAATCCCTCAGCATCAGAAAGTTTCTTGGCAAATCGACATGCGCATGTAGATCTGTTCATCAGGTCCTGCCTGTCTAGATGAAAGTCCTCCCCCTACAGTAGTCACAATTATTCAGATCGTTGTTGTTGACTTTCTGCCAAAAGAAGGCTTCTCTAAACTCTCTTGCTAGATTATCTGGTGGATCTGATGCTGAACTAGTTGAGCTCGAACCTTGATTGAAATTGATTCCGGATTCCGAATCATCATTGGATTCGCTTGAGTATTGAGTGCAACATATGTCCTGTGCAGGTCGCAGGGCATCTCGTACACTTTCGTCAACTACGCGCCGTGCGGCCAGAAGTGAGGCTCCGGGCCCTTCTTAACACGTTCAACCCTTAGAACCTCTCAGACTTCTCTTTGAGCTTCGTTATCTATCAATCACTGGATCTTCAGTTCTCCAGTTTCTACTTCCTTCACATGGGTGCTAACAATGGAAGGTTTGGTGCGTCTCTGCCTCTTGCCAGCCTGCAACTATGGTCTTTGCTAAGCCTCAAAGGTTGAAAGCTCATCTCGCAAAGGAGTTCAGTCACCCTGGATCACGATATCCTTTTGTTTATAGAGGGCCTGGGGGCATCTTTCATTCATTTCTTGCTCCTCGGAACGGGCAAACAATGAGAACTACTGACCTCATAATGTAAGGTAGATTTGAAGGCAGTTTTGAAGCCGAGGAACTGCACACGTATCTGACATTTCCCTGATCGGCTATGTGTCCAGCCCCATCCACACCCACCCCCGCGCGACAGAGATCCTGTACGTCATCGAGGGCCAGCTGTTTGTCGGCTTCGTTGACACCAACAGTGAGACTTCGCACGCGGTCTCAGCCGTGGTCTTCAGTTTACCTTCTCATGTCAACGTTCTGGTGGCAGAGGGGTCGAGCGACTTGGCAGTGCCGTCGACGGAGTGTTAATATTGCGCTGCTTAGTAGGACTGTCAATGACAGCGTCAGAGAGGGACTCTTAGTCGTCTCAAAAGACGCTCCTTGTACCTTTGACGCCCTGTCAGAGCGATTGACTCTGGGCCGCCACACTCCCGCACCTAAGCTGCTGGCGTCGTCTCATCTTGTCCGAAACACGTATATGCACGCTGATCAGCTGGGGTGACGTACTCGTCTCCCCCACGGTTCAAACTACTACCAGTTCTCTCGTCCTTCCGCACTCAGTCTGCTGACGTCACCTTCCCTTTTGCCGCAGACACGCTGTTCCCGACAATTCTGAATGTAGGCCGAATCTGAACTTCTCCCGCAGGCTGGAAGTCACCATTCTCCCATCCTTCCGTACTTAACCTGCTGACGTCACCTTTCTTTTGCCGCAGACACTCTGTTCTCGACGACCCTGAACGTGAGAAATGTCTTTGTCTTCCTTCGCGGGCTGATCCGTTAGCATTCCCCCATCCTTCCGTATGTATTTGCTGACGTCACCTTTGCCTTTGCCGCAGACACTCTGTTCTCGACGACCCTGAACGCGGGCGACGTGTTCGTCTTCCCCCGCGGTCTGATCCACTTCCAGCAGAACACCAGCCCCAACAACCCGGCCAAGGCGCTCGCGGCGCTCAACAGCCAGAACCCGGGGACCCAGGTTAGCACACCTCCACATATCGAGACTGATGAGCTTCTTCTTGAAAGCGGGCTGAACGAAAGATGTGGGCAAATCTCGAGGGATCCCTCTTGGAGGAAGCTTCATTCGAAACGGCTCGGAAGAAACGGTGTCTTAGGGCGGAATGGTCGGGAACCATAATATTAGTTGCACTTGTGCTCTGTTGAAGCCGCCAACTTTCAGGGAGCGATTGCCTGGGCGTCAATTGGTAAAGGATACGTTTTGGAAGTAAAAACAGCCACTTCCCGATGGTGGGTGGTCGCGGCCACTTCAGCCTACGGACAAGCTGGAACCCTTGACCCACCTAAACCCCAGGCAAACTTCCGCATCAAACCTTAGCATGCTTTCGCTTGATCTGTCCTATCAAATCCCACCAACCGTACCATCAAACAAGACCCCGAACTCGTGCCTTTTCCCTTTGAAAATCAAAGAGTCGGCTTGCGCGCTTTCCTGCGCAACCCGCACTCTCACGAGCATTTCCCCACATCTCACTCGCAGCCGTCCGATCAAATGCTCCGTCAATCGTGCCGCTCACAAACCTTTGTTTCTTTGCAGAGGATCGGCAGCGCGCTCTTCCTGCCCACCGGCATCCCCACCAGCATCTCCCAGGTCGCATTCAATGCGCAGGCGTCCGCCATCGAAGCCATCAAGCAGAACTTCCCGGCGTCCGGAAACCCGGTCGGTACCGCCAACACGGGGTGCGGACCGTCCGCCACTTTCCCGTCAGGCAGGAAGATGATGTAGTCAGCTGGGCGGAAGCAGATATTTGGAGAACGAACGCTGCTTGCTTGTATTTAATTAACCAGCGTTCTGAGTTCGAAGATATTCCCGTTCGCTCGCGCCCCATGTAAGCTAGCATCTGGAGGCCGACGTCAGTAAAACCTAAGAAGACATTTTGATGCTATCTCTGGAATCCGTAGCCACTTCCACATAGCAGCTCTGTTCTCCTATGATCTTTCAAAAATTTCATTCATGCACCGGACACGCTTCGCGTTCCTTCGCATCTGATTCGACTACGTCATCTCGCATACTGCCCAATTAAACGGTCTTCTATTTAGCACTGATGGGCAGGCAGCTCATTGCGACGTGACGCGACATGATAGTGACATGATGAAACGAGTTGCTGCAACAAGATTCGACACCATTGAAACATATTTCAACTTTCAAGATGTCTCGCAAGCTTCATCTCGCTGTCATCCAACTTTTACCCGCGCGATATTCATCTGAAAGGCGTGTGAACGAGCAGCAGACTCAGCTCTGCGTTTCGAGAGTGCGCCGTCGCATGGGATGCTTACATGCTTACGACAGCCGCTGCGCGCGCCCATTATGAAGAGGTTGGAGCGCGACTCTGTGCGCCCACATATCTGAAGCAAGTTACGCCTGAGAGTCGATTGAAAGACCTCACGACGCAATCGGTTCAAAGGCTGGAGTTTCTGAGCTGCTGAAACGACACCTCCTACGGGTTGGCGCTCACTAAGCGTTGGTACGCTCCAGCATTATACTACAGTGCGTGGGTAAGCGAAAGACAAAGATTGCTTTTGCTTCCTGTAGGAAAGATCCATGTCAGCGAAGCGTTTCGGCAGAAGCTTGGAAGAGACAAGTGCTATTAGTCTGGGACTCCTCGAGCGCTCAAAGAACTCTCTACTGAAAAGAAGTACTAATTGAAAAGTGGGGTAAGGTATAATTGAACGGGTTCTGCCTATTCGACGCAAACAAGAAAAAGGCGATACCTTGGCTTAATGGGTGACGGTGACTCGGAGCAGTCAATGCTCGACCGCACAATTCTTCATGAGCAGCTGTGAACTCGATACAACGCCGAGTTCCTTGACATCTACACCGAAAAGGTGCCCTATTCGACTTCTCCGGATGATGGCAGCAATGTTATTGCTCAACCATCCCCTCTTCTACTACTGTTCTCTTCCCTCACAAGGCTGAAGCGATTGGCGTCTTATAATACCGCTCTCTCAGTCGACTAATCCTTGAACTTTGTCATCTTATGAGGCCGCACATGTTTGACCTTATACGATTACTAAACCTGTGGTTCCGAAAACATAGATGACTTTTCCGAGGAATTTGTGAACGACCATAGACAATACTGGGCTGCATGCGGAGAAACACCATCGATTGAAGAATTGACAGTGTTCATAGAGTAGGTTGCGATTCGCAATCAGTGACCACCCGCCTGCCACGTCATTCTGTGTGATACGAGAGAATATCTACGAGAGTTTTCATTTGCAGCCGAAGTCGAGAAGCAAGCAGGATCCGAGCAACATTAAATCTACTCAAGGCACATCTCGTCGGCAGCCTGCTTCAAGTTCCTGCATGTGCAAAGATCGCAATCAATACTGCGCCCGACTCGGCAAAGTAAGAGCGCCCTGCAAAATTTTCTGGCCCCGCCCTGCATATGTCTAGCTGGGATCAGTTTGAAAAGACTGCTACGAAACCAAACTCTTCGAGCATCTTCATTTTGCAAAATCTCGATTAACACATTCGCAGCAAGCCGCAGCAAGATCAACCCTCCCCTCTCTTGAGACCGCCAAAAATAAAGCTAAAATTCTTTCTTCTGAACCGTCTCACACACACTCGGGACTCGGGACCTCATCCCCCTTGGCAGGATGGCCATAAGCTATCGCGCCGGCTTGGCGCTGCTCGTTCTGGCGGCGGCTGTTCTGATGGCGTCCGCAGCGGACCCGGATCCCCTTGCGGACTTTTTGCTGCCGGGACTGACTGGCGCCGAAGGTGAGGAGGCTGACTCTTTTGAGGGGTCACAGAGGTGAGCCTGTGGAAAGTCGAATGTAGAGGGTTTGGAGCGCCTCATGAGAGCCACAAAAGAGCACTCTATGAATGCTCTGTCAAAGAGGTGTTGATTTTTTATTGAAGCCCTCATAAGCCGTACTGCTAAGGAAGTTCATTTTTGTGTCCAAGCCTTGTTAGCGGGCACTTAAATTGAAAAGAAGTCATGTATGTTTGCTACATGAAAGGGTTCCTGATCAGGCGTGGACCAGCTACTGTGGCGAACTTTCCTAGTGATTGGCTCCAGAGCACGGTCGGAAGCAGCCCGGTTAATCCATTGGCTCCGCAGTTTCCTTTCCAACTCACTTTCCAGCGAAAAGTTGTGTTGCATATTCGATCCAAAATCAATGAGCTTAACCATCAAAGCTATCGTCGCGTAAGCGGCGCCAGTCCTTGCCGTGCAGTGACTGGCGCCAATTTCGCCTTTCGCCGTCTGGATAACGTCACCGTGCCGCCCGGCCAGGGCAGCGCGACCAAGTCCGCCAACGCCGCAACCTTCCCCGCTGTGACGTGAGCCCTTGCTAACGACTGTAACCATTGTGGTTACTGCGAAATGCGTTTATTTTTCAGAACAGTGTCCCGAGTGCGTGGGATTGCCATAAGAGCGACAGCAACGTGACTAGACAAAAAGATTGACCGACTTAAACCTAAGAGCACTCGGCCCCACTTCCTACCTACTTCAACCAGGTCCACCTCACCCATTCAAATCAGAGAGGGCATGCTTCTAAAGGATAAAATTCGTTGCAGTCCGACAGACTGACGGCATGGATTGCCTTCTGCAGATCCCAGGGCGTCTCGTATACGTTCATCGACTATGCGCCGTGCGGCCAGAAGTAAGTACGGAATGCTATAGCCCATTTCCAGTTCCTCAAGCGCTGTTCGACGCTTGGACGAAACCGAAATGAAAGTGCATATCTTGAATTCTCGTCGACGTCTCGTGCGAACCAAAGAGCTGAGGAGCGATTCGCCAACCTCTGAAGGGGACAAACATCTTTCTTAAGGGCGCGTCATCGAGTCACTCGGAACCGGATCGCAGACGTTCCAATCACATCGCGTCTGACCTGTTGAGAAGGGGAAGTCCTAGTTCCTGCCTGAAATCCAGCAGGATTCGTTTTCAGTATTGTATCTAATGGTCGCTCCGCTTCTGTGTCCAGCCCCATTCACACCCACCCCCGCGGAACGGAGCTGCTCTTCGTCGTCGTAGGCCAGCTGTACGTCGGCTTCGTTGACACAAACAGTGAGTGGCGGCAAAAGCTCCCAGCTTAATACGCTTTGCGTGTCAATGGCAAGGTTTTGAGCGTTGACGGCTCTAGGCGTCCGGCTCAGATTGCTTGACCCGATAACGGATGGACCCTTTATTTCTTAATAAAATTTGACCTGGTGAGGGCTTTTCAAATTTCAGAAGCATGCATTGAAGACCTGAAGAATGGAAGGGGTCTCCAAATTCACAACTAAGGTTTATCTAATTCCTCATTCATTCTCGAATATAACCCTCATCTTTCACCGGTCTGTGCCTTCAACCTCTTCTGCTGAATCTCCTCCGATCGCCGAACGAACTTTTCTCTCCTCATTTGACCTGAAAGCGGACCGCGCTCGCAAAATATTGGCACCTTCCTTAGTCAACTCGACTCTGTGGCGCATGTTACGAGACATCCGCTGACGTAAACTTTGCGCGGCCAACAGACACACTGTATGCGACGACGCTGAACGCGGGTGACGTGTTCGTCTTCCCCCGCGGTCTGATCCACTTCCAGCAGAACACCAGCCCCCGCAAGCCCGCGAAGGCGCTCGCGGCTTTCAACAGCCAGAACCCGGGAACCCAGGTCAGAGTATGCTTGCAACCGCAGTCTTGTCAAAGAACATGAGGCGTAGAAGTTTGGGACAGTGATTGCTTGAGAATCATTGATTCCAAAGTTATCTCCGAAGACTGTGGAGAATGAAAACCTAGAGAGGGGTGAACGGAGAACATTCTCCTTTCCTCTGCGACGAAATAGAACTTTCACTTGTGTCGAAGAATATATGTTTGATGGACGGGCCTGCACTGTAAATCTGGCAGACTCGATGAACCTCCGGGTGGAATCCGACTTCCAAGGGACGAAGGGTGGCTCCAGACAAAAGCGTCCGCTCTTGTGATCAATACAGTCTCCAAGCGGCCGCTTTAGTTCACGTCCTTCATTGATAGCCTACGCAAGCCCCCTGTTCTTCGGACTTCGCACATTGGCTAACGTCCCAACGCTTCAACCTCTTTTTGCCCACCGGTGATCGCCCCCAGCATTTCGCCATCTTCCATTTGCAGATTTTCTCCGATCGAGAACTCTTACTCTTCGCGGCGCTCACTTTCTTTCCCTGTCTTGCAGAGGATCGGCAGCGCGCTCTTTCTGCCCACCGGCATCCCCACCAGCATCGAGCAGGTCGCCTTCAATGCGAAGGCGTCTACGATTGAAGCCATCAAGCAAAACTTCCCGCCTTCCGGTAACGCGGTCGGTACCGAGAAGACGGGCTGCGGACCTTCCGGTTTCTTCCCGTAAGCCTGGCAGGGGAACCGTGACGGCGCCTGGTTGTGTGACTTCGAGAAGAATAGAAGCGGCGGTGAAAAATAAGCTGGCAGATTCATGTGGTCGAATGACAGAGCTATGGTTCCGAGATTGGGTCCTCATGACTTCTGAGTCTCGTACGGTCACCCGCATAAGGTTAAGCGTGTCGCCTTTGCGTCGTGTCAACGACCGCTGCGCTCTCCCTCGCTTTGGGTGGAACTGAACTTCATGCAGTTGACTTGCCAGCTCGCAGAGTTGGTTTGGAAAGAACAAGACATTTCGCAGATTCTCTCGAATTCGAACCTTTTGTGCGATTCCTCCAGATTTCAATCGAAGCATCATCTGCTCCTTAGAGGTCCAAGGCAATAATCTGCAACCTTGGCGCATGCGTGCATATATTGTGTCGCTTATTCTTGCAACTTTTCGGCGGCCTGATTTGTTTCGTTGAACGAATCCAGAAGTAATAGGGCCGAGAATGTCCTATGAACCGTGCATTCTTAGCCGATATAATTGCAGATCTGTTCAGGATAAAAATTATGATTCGGATCTGCCACGCTCGATCGGGCGTGAGCATCTTCAGCGTTTTAAAAGAAATTGTAAAACTGAGTTTTTAGCGACTTAAAATCACTTACTAACTAGGATTAGATGTGCTATTTAAAATTATGGTCTCCGGAAATGCACAGGAGCTAGTGCGGTATGTAGCATCGTGCCAGGACTCACACAAGCTTTCATTATTAAAGGCATTTAGAGGTACCATGACTCAATTAATGTCTCTGTCACACAGACCTAGATCACGACGGTGCCGGCGTACACGTCCGACACTACATCCAATGCATGAATGATTACATACTAAGATGTCTACTATAAATCCCGGCTGCAGTACGTATGCATAACCAGGCTAGAGTGCATGCGACCGTCGTGCGTACGTGCAATCGTCTAGAATTCCAGTCGACCGTGCGGCCAGCTCTATTTTTTGCATTGTATCCGAGAGATATATGTATCGACGATGATCGTATGTACTCAGCATTTAATTAATTTTAATCAGCATGACGGTATGATGATTGTAACTTCAGAGGACTTTGGCTGATTAGAAGGCGTGCGCGGCCAGATGATGCTGCGGCGGTCTGACAGGATCCACAACCACAATCAATATATCCTCAACATGAGCGAGCGCAAACACGCAGCCCGCGCCCGCCGGGGCTATGCTGCTGTCACCAATCACCAAAGCAGCCCGTTCATTCGGACTTGCGCTTAATTCGACTGTCTTGGTTAGTCAGGTCGACTTCGCGTCATAGGAGGCTGGTGGCCCAAGAGTTGGTATGCAACCTAGCAGGGCGCACACGCACTGGCCGTGTTTACTAACGAGCTTAAACCAATCGTAGTGCAGATTCAGATTCCATTAGGTCAAATCAGCACACATTCTCAATTCCTGAACAAGCGAGACATGGCGTGGCAGAAGGACTCCTATAGCATATCCATCTCCTCGTCCATCCCGTCTTCCGCTCTCGCCTTCTTTTTCTTGTCCCTTTTTCGTTTCGCGCCCGTCGGCCGTTTCGGTTTCGGGGCGGGAGGGGGTGGCGGCACCGTGTTGGTTAGATGTTGCCGGATGGCTTCGAAGGGGTTCGCCTTAAACGTTGGGTGATCTAGAACAGCTGCGAGTTGCTTCGATTCTTGGGTCCTGCACAGTCGACCGCACGGATTGAGCCCCTCTGCTCATTCAATGTGTGTACGTGTCTGCTCATGCTCGATTAAAACCTCCCTTTCGTAATGGGCAGACCACAATGAAAAAGGTGTCAGCTTCTTCTAGGGAGGTTCCTTCGAAAATCGCACGATGCAACACAAACGTGCGTTCAGCCCCTTCGCAGCTCTCAAGGATTGTCTATTCTGGACTAGTCTGCCCGCTTCTAGTTTTGCTGAGTAAGACCGGACGAAGAGCCCAAAGAAAGCGAAAGAGTTACGACTCGCAGCGTCCGTGCCAAGCGGGAGCACTGTGCAGTACACCTGCCCACGTCCCGGCTATTCTTGACTTGACCGCTTCTGAGACATGCACCGGCCGACTCTGTAGACCTTTTCGTAACACCAGATAGGCAAGCACTGAAACATTCCCCGAACGTGATTCCAATCAAGCATCACGGCACAACACCAGCGATAGATTGATGTGGTAGTACGAGCAGGGTTTTCCTGCTTCTGATTGCTTCTAGTGCGGTCGCGCTTCTGTGTACAAAACAATATAGTAGATAAAGAGCATGATCCGGCCCTTGAAGGGGACCGAAGGATAGGAGACGCACTCCACGTGCAGATTCGGCTCGTGTGCAACTACGAGCTTGTTAGCCCACAAGCTTGACTCCCAGAAGACTCATTCGATCTGAAACGGCAAGTATGAGGCCTATTTCAACAGAACCGGAAGGGCAGAGACGCGATGCTTCACAAGACGGGAGGCCAGTCCATTCTGAAAGTACAGGGAACACAGATATATTTCCAAAACATTTGCCGTCAATATACGCCACCTCTGCACTCACGTTATGTCCTGCCTCGCTTTGCTCCTGAGAATTTTCGGCTGCCGACTCTGCTGCTTGCTGGGCCCCGCTGGGAGGTCGTTAACTAGAGTGGAGAGGTTTTCGAGGGCGAGGCCCAGGCTCCGGCCTTTCCGTTTCTGCAGAGCAACGCCAAACACGTCTTGGCGTTGAAAACTTTACAACGGATTGGGTTGAAGACAAAGACAAAAGCGGAAAGGCTGCCAAAAGGTCTTTTCACATTTCAGGGGCGAAACATTGACCAGAGGGAACATGTGATCCTCAAGAGAAACTGGAGTTCGCCCGAGCCCGTGAAGAGGGGTCCCCTTCGTCTCCAAACACCTGTCTGCGGAGCGGAAATTTGGAGATCCGACGTTGATCACAAAAACGTAAGGCGCTTAAGATTGGGTGGACCAGTCTGACGTTTCTGTCAGGTTCAAGAGACTCATTGAATATCGGTCAACCCCAGCTCTGTCCACTTTAGACCACAGAACAAGTTCTGAATAGATGTCTAGGACTTTAATCTTATGATTGCAATCCGTGACCCAACTCCACAATCGGAAATCTTGGCATGCGGTACAAGCTTAAACGTTCCTCCCTGAGATCAGGGGAAAACGCAACCAAACCCCTAATTCAATTGGCCAGGACTCTTTCACCTATTGAGCACCTGATCACTTTTGCGATAAGGTAGGATTGTAAAGGTGCTCCAAAAAACGGGAACAAGGTCCAGTGGCTTACCTTCGGCTTTTGCAGGGTGCGGGTGGCTGATAGCGCCTTCTTTGTACTTACTAAATCTGTATGAAAGATGCTCGGTTTCATTCATAACCAAGTATGCTTGCTCTTATGAAACATCCGAAGTACATCATGTTTGCAAGGCTTCTAAAATTGCGCGGACAGCGGCAAAACAAAAGATGGAAGGGCAGTCTTCCAAATGACCCGCACAACTTACAATAGTGGCTTAACTGGAATCAGCCCATGAGGGTCATAACCTTTTGCAAACTGGCTATCTTATCGAATCACATCGACTTTCTGAGGAACCAAACGCCAGCTCATTGCTGGCAGAAGCTCCTGCCGGGTTTCTACATTCTCACAGAACAGAAACTTGAGTAGGCAAATCTCGAATTGGAGATGCATCAGCACGTTCACCTCGGTGTCTGCACCGGAATCTAAAACGGCACTTACTTTTGTGGAATTTCAACTTTTTTGCAAGCCGCCGCTGTGCGCTCTTGCCCGCAGGCAGCGAAACCTCTTCATCGCCATTGATTGCTGCCTCGCCATCATCAACGGCGCTCTGACTGCCGAGCTTGGTCTTCACCTTCTGTCGGGCGGTCTTCTTCTTCACCTGTGGCAAGAAATGAAGCATCTCAGCTCGTGTGACAACTTCCTACTGTTCATGATATGGTATGTGAATGAGGACAGTAACTTCCGCTTTTGGACCGGAACACAGCAAGTACATGAGAGTACATAATCTTCATTCGTAAGGAGGCCCAAGAGAAAACCTCTTGAGCCCTTGACAAGAGTGTCTTGGTCTATCTTCACGAAACGCTTGGAGATCACTTTTTGCCTTCTCGACCGGAACTCGTTACTGGGTGCAGATATGAGGAGCTGAAGGGTGTTCAAAGCCCACTTGTGAGTGCCTCAGATGAGTATCAAATCTGACAGGCAGGTTGTACACATGCTGAATACTGATGGTTGCTGTTATTGACTGTCTCGCCCTCAACAAGCACATGACAAACTGCCGTCGAGCCGCACAACGGTCTCCCCAGCAACCATCCATAGCTCCAACGCTGACACATTGTGCACGCAGAAGAACATCTTCGAAAATTCATATTTCTGTAGAATCAACGAACAGGCAGGATTTGATAGACTGTCCCGAGGTAAATAAGTACCAAAAGGCAGCTAGCCCCACCAGCAAAAGACAAGATCATCTGGACAGCACCCGGCCAGAAAAGTTACCTGTGCATTGTAAGCTTCAGTCCTGCTTCAGTCCCTAAAGTCACAAATTTCAAGCTAGATAACCACAGCATTACTAGCAAGCCGTATCATCCATTACCAAGAAGGGGAAACCGCTCCTGTTTTGGAAATCGACGCTGCGCTTGCAACCAGATGAAGCTCACATGTGTATTGATGACCGCTCTTAAAGCCATCAGCAAATACTATTTCAACCGGTCGACGCCTCAGGCAAAGAGTCCATCTGGCACT